ATCCATGAGTCTGGTGTGAGAATGACATCAGTGTTTACCTGGGGAAGCTGAAGTATTCCCTTCTCCCTTCTCAGTGGCATACTGCTGTTCACAGGACCAAAAACATCAGGATCTGTGGAGTCACGAGGCCATCCATGTTCTATGAAATGTGTTTAACTACACCCACATCTTACACAACTGTATGTGTATTTATTACTCTATAAATAAAATTTTGATATCAAGTTATTTGATTGAGGGCAAATTCTGTATTGGGTGTTGGGTGTTGGGGTGGGATGAATATATAGAACTATATGTATATGCTCAATTATTCTGTAAAATGAAAACTGTACAGGGGCACCTGCGTGGCTCAGTCAGTTAAGCATCCAACTCTTGATCTCAGCTCAGGTCTTGATCTCAGGGCCTTGAGTTCAAGCCCTGTACTGGACTCCATGCCCATCACGGAAACTATTTTTTAAAAAAATAAATAAAAATAAAACAGGAACTTCTGCATGGCACAGTCTTTTAAGCATCTGACTCTTGGTTTCACTCAGGTCTGATCTCTTGGTGGTGAAATCAAGCCACATGTTGGGTTCTGCACTCAGCGTGGAGTCTGCTTCAGTTTCTCTCTCCTTCTGCCCTTCCCCCATTCTCCCCCTCTCTCTAAAATAAATAAGTAAATCTTTTTTAAAAAAATAAAAATGTACCAACAGTAAAGTCTATTAATTATTTTTGAAAAGTAGGTTATTTGAGAGTAACACAATTTATAATTGATAACCATAGCTCAAGCCATCAATGTGCATGAAGAGAATTCTTGCAAAATGAGACAAAATTTTCTTTTTCTTAAGATTGTATTTATTTGGGGCACCTGGGTGGCTCAGTGGATTAAGCCGCTGCCTTCGGCTCAGGTCATGATCTCAGGGTCCTGGGATTGAGTCCCGCATCGGGCTCTCTGCTCAGCAGGGTGCCTGCTTCCCTCTCTCTCTCTCTCTCTGCCTGCCTCTCCGTCTACTTGTGATCTCTCTCTCTGTCAAATAAATAAAAAAAAATAAAACTCAAAAAAAAAAGATTGTATTTATTTATGTATTTAGAGAGAGCATGTGAATGGGGGAAGGGGCAAAGGAAGAAAAAAAGAATGTCAAGCAAACTCCACGACCCTGAGATCATGACCTGAGTTAAAATCCAGCCAGACACTCAACCAACTGAACCACCCAAATGCCCCCCAAGACAAAATTTTAAATTGTTTTCTAATATAATACCATTTTAAAAGATTAAAAGTGGCTTGAAACTTAACACCTAGGGATTTTAAAGACCCCATTTTATGTCACGGAAAAATGATTCAATGTAATGGAAAGATGTTCACAATATAGTATCATACGAAAAACCCAGATTAACAAAAAATACATATGACCAAGTTGAATCCTTTGTTGTTGAGGTAACATTCACATAACATAAAATTCACCATGTTAGCCATTATACAGTGTACAATTTTATGCATTTAGTACATTCACAGTGCTGTGCAACCACCACCTCTAACTAGTTCCAGAGCATTTAATTACCTAAAAAGGAGATCTCCTACCCAGTACAGGCACCCTCCAGTCCCCGCTCCCACCCTCCAGCCTTTGCAACTACAAGTCTGCTTTCTGTATCTCTAGATCTTCCTATCCTGCTCATTTCATGTAACGGAATCATACAGTATCTGGCATTTCACTCAGTATCACTTTTTCAAAGTTCATCCATGTTGTAGCATGTATCAGTGCTTCATTACTTTTCATAACCCATAAAATTCTTGCTATGGACATATCACATTTGGTTTATCCATTCATCTGAGCATGGATATTTGGATTGTTTCGCAAATATGCAACTTTTGACAATTGTGAATAGTGCCACCATGAACTCACGTACAAGCTTTTGTTTGAACACCTGTTTTCTTTTTTTTTGAACACCTGTCTTCAATTCTTTGGGATATATACCTAGGCGTGGGGTTGGTGACTCATACGGTAGTTCTGTTTAGTTTATTGAGGAAACACCAAATGTTGTGCACAGGGGCTGCACCATTTTACATTCCTATCGGCACTGTATCAGGGTTCCAGCTCCTCCATATCTTCACCAGACCTGTTATTTTCCCTTTTTCAGACTCCTGCCATCCTCATGGATATGAAGTGGCATCACAGGAAGCACTGCTTTGCAATTCCCTAATGACTAATGACGTCGCATTTTTTCACGGGCTTATTAGTCAGTAAAAGAACATTTTTAAGCAGGAGATTACATGTAAATGTAATACACTTAGATGTAAATAACATTTTTATACTTGCATAAAGATTATATATATAAATAAAAGCTGGATGTATATGTGAGAAAACATAAACAGTAATTATTTTGACATGTGTGAATTATGGATATAAAAATGATTTTTCTTACTTTTTCTTCTTTGTGCTTTCTCCTATGAAGGCATATCATTTTGGGAATACGAAAAATATTTTAATAAGAACTCAGCAAAGAAAAACATGTAATATTCAGCTTAGAAAATATTAAATATTTATTCATAGTGCAGTGTTCCTATCATATTTTGCAGTCAGTAAGACTCCAGGGACCCCATTTTGTGAGCCCCAGAAAGGTTTTGAGGTCCTGGACTGTACCCTACCCCAGGGTGGGTGCTCCTAACAGCCTGAGAGGAGAGAATCCAAGGACAGCCACTGTCCCAGGTGCTGAAGGAGGCATTTCCACTCCCCATCTCACTATTGAAGACCCACATGACCTCCACCTCTTGAAACATTTAGGCAAAAACAAAACCCAGATCATGCCTCTCCAGAGGGAAAAAAAATTTTTTTTCAGTTCCGAGCTTCAAGACCAGTTTGCCATCAAAGGAGTTTCTCTGAGGTAACTATGGATATTTACAACTAACTGGGTCTTCTAATGATAGTTTTCCCCAACAGAAGGTTGCCACATTTACCAATACTTAAATTTAACTTTTGTGACTGAAGCTTTTTAAATTTCAGAACATAATGTAAAAGGAAGAGAGAAAGAAACAAACTAAACCTCACTGAGTACCTATGCTTACCAGATATTGACTCACTGATGTTGCACATTTGCTTATGCAATCTCCCCATTAGTGTAATAAGGTGGCTATTACTATGTGGTAATGGAACTGAGCCTCGGAGAGATCAACAATTTTCCCTGACCCACACAGCTAGGAAAGAGCACATTGAGATTGTGATGTTGGTAATACGACTCCAGGAGGTCCTGCAACTCCAGGAGGTCCTGGATCAGGGACATCTGACCCTCACTCTATTTAGTTATTTGCCTCACCTTTCCTAAAGAGTGGTCTTGTCCTCTTGATCCAAGAGGGAGCTCCAGCTACACACACCACTCCCAAGAAGCAGAAAAGAAGGGGGAAACTAGACAGAGAATTCCAGCTTTCTCTTCAGGAGGGTTTCCAGAATTACCAGATAGTCTCTGACTTCTCCATATGGGACAGGGTATACTCATTTAGCTAATCTAGTTTCAAGAGAAGCTTTCAAATACTATCTGTATTTAGCCTACCATGCACCTAACTAAAAATTAAGGGTTACAGGAAGTTTTGCAAAAAGGGATATCAGGATACACAGCAGTCTCTGACACTGTCCATCCTGTTGACTACCAAAAAACCCAATGTGCACTCCTCTTCCTATACAAGAAACACCCCAGAGCAGTCAACCTCAAAGTCCATCTGCTCCTTCCATTTAACCCAGGTTCCAGGATCTCTGGGTGATGTGCTGTCCTCTCCTTTAAGACTTGATGTGAGCTTTTTTTGTGGTCCAGGAATCTATACACTTAAAGGCAATTATCACCCTCAATACATTCAGGAGCGGAGTGACCATTAAAATTCCAATTGAGACTTCCTGTTCCCACTAATGGCAAGCTACGTTATTTGGATTAAACTTTCAATTTTTTAAAAATTGAACTCTCACAGCTGGATACTTTTCCAATTTCTTAAATGAATACATACCAGAAAAGACAGTAAAAAATTACAAGGACATCACTCAAATGAAAATAGAAGCCTAGAGCTAAAACAACAGGTACCACACGTTTGCCCTGGAGGCATTTCTCAAGTCAGGAAAATGTGAAGCTGCTTTGACAGCCTCATGATCAGGGGAGAAAAAGCAAAGCCTACAGTGATACAAGAAAAAGGAATTGTGAGAAGACCGTCCTTACATAAGTGGAGACCTCAAAAAGCTACACTCCTCGGGGTGAGAGGACTAGAGGACCCTGCAAGTTTGTTCTCAGCTAGAATTTGAAGTGCCTTCCTGATCTTGGGCACCACAAGCCTTGAACTTCATTTAACATAATCTTCAACTCGCAAGGCTCCAAGGCTTCCTCCCTAGAGAAAAGCTACCTTCTTCAAATTCTACTAGTGTTTTTTTTTTTTTTTACAAATGTTATTTCAAATATCATAACCAACACCCAGACAAAGATAACCAGGCACACAAGAACAACGACCCTACCAGTGAAAACCACCAAAAACAGGCTGTATAACAGACACAGTGATTGCAATGATCAGATACACAGGATAAAGTATATTTGCTGTGTTGAAGTAAAGAGAGTAACTATAGAAACATAGTAAAGGATTCTGAGGTAAAAAAAAAGTTTGGGTTTATTAGCTAGGAACAGAGAGCAGGGTGATCAGAGTGTAGTGCCACCACGGGTTCTCCTCTGTGACCCAGAACCTCAGACATGCCCCTTAAGTCAGTCCTTAACCCTGGTCTCCTTCCTGCTCAAACACCTCCCACGGCTCCCTATTGCCTACAGGATAAACTAACTTATTATGAACTCTGAAAGAACCCACAATCAGCATGGGGCCTGTAGTCACCTGGAAAGTCAGGGTCTTGGGCTCAGACATCAGCCTCCCCTCCACCCCGCCTCGCCCACCCCTGCGTGCCCACAGGTCCCAAGCGCCCCCTGCTGGCTCTCGATGAAGCTCGGACAGAGGAGATGGCACAGTTTCATTCCCGGGAATCCGCAAAGTGAGGCGTGTAGGGTCTGGGTCACCGGGATGCCGCGCTCAGCGGCTCCACGCGCAGCCAGAGTCCGCCCTCCGCGCGCAGGATCAGCTCCGGCTTCCTGCGTGGCTCCTCCTCGCCCGGCAGGACCCGGAAGCGCAGCAGCGTCAGCGCCAGAACCACCTTCATCTCGGTCAGGGCGAACGTCTGCCCAATGCAGTTCCTGCGGGCACCAGTGGGGGCTCTGACTTGCCAGGGACCCCAGCAGGCCCCATGGCGCCCAGAACCTGGTCCGGGACCCTTTGCCCCGCCCGCAGGGATCCAGAATGGGAACAAACCATGCCTGGGACCCCCATGTGGGCTTGCCTATCCCCGAGCTTGGCTCGGACCCCAGCCCTGGACTCAGGCCAGCAGACATGGGGAAGGGGCACGGCCCACACCGCGGACCCCTCGTTGGACCTACCCTACCCCCACTTCCCAGACCCTTACCTCTAACCTCTGGAGGAGGGGAGAGAAGGAGAGCCATCCTCAATTTCCCCCTTTCCCGCCCCATAGCCTTGTCCCAGACCCCTGCCCCACCACCCCATTCCCACCTCGGATGCCCCCTGAGCTCACCTGGGCCCCGCAGAGAAGGGAATAAAAGCCAAGGGTGACCTCTCCTTGATGTTTTCTGGGTCAAAGCGAAAGGGATTGTATACCTAAGGGTGGAGAGAGGCAAGGCTGCTGGGTGGGGTTTCCCAAGATACCTAGACAACCCTAGAAAAGACTGATGTGGATATAGTGGAAAGGGAGTATCTGACTTCCCCCGTCAGGACCCTGCTGCTTCATTGGGTGGAGGGATGGAGAAGAGAGAGGAATAGCACCTCAGGGTCCGGCCAGATAGACGGGTTGTGATGAATCCCAAAGATGCTGATGACACAGATGTTCCCTATGAGGGAAAAGAGTAACAGTCAAGGTGAGGTCTCAGCTGATGGGACTACCACCCTCCTCCCCCTGATGCTGTAGACACCTTTGGGGATGACCCGGCCATCAGGGAGCCTGACGTCCTGGGTACTGCGGCGGGCAATGACTGTAACCGGGGGATGCAGCCGCAGACTCTCCTTGATGCACATGGTCAGGAAGGGCAACTGGGCCAGGTCGTCCCTAAGGAAGACCCCCAACAATTATCCAGGGATCGAATCAAAGACTCCCGCAGCCCTCCTGGTGCCCCTGAAGACCCTCTCCCCATCTTGCTCTGACCCTCACTTCTTTTTTTTTTTAATTTTATTTTTTATAAACATATAATATATTTTTATCCCCAGGGGTACAGGTCTGTGAATCGCCAGGTTTACACACTTCACAGCACTCACCATAGCACATCCCCTCCCCAATGTCCATAACCCCACCCCCCCAACCCCCCTCCCCCCATTAACCCTCAGTTTGTTTTGTGAGATTAAGAGTCACTTATGGTTTGTCTGACCCTCACTTCTATAACAAAATAAATTCCAGATGGGCCAAAGACTTAGGCATTAGAAAATCAAAATCACAAAAGTCACTAAAAGGAAATTTAGCCTGGTGTTTTTAGAAGAATTTCTTTTTTTTTTTTTTAAGAATTTATTTATTTATTTGACAAACAGCACAAGCAGGGGAATTGGCAAGCAGAGGGAGAGGGAGAAAACGGCTTCCCACAGAGCAGGGGGAGCCCAGTGTGGGTCTTGATCCCAGGACCCCAGGACCATGACCTGAGTGAAGGCAGTGGCTTAAGCAACTGAGCCACCCAGGCACCCTAGAAGCATTTCTGAGCAAAGCACACCATTCACAGGAATCCTTAAAAGTATTAACACATTTGCATAAGAAAGTTTTTTAAGGTATACAATTGACTGAAAAAGGAAAAAAAATCTCTATACTGGACTTAACAGGTTATTTGAACAAATGAGACCCACACTCTAAGGTGGGATGACCTAATAGTATAAAGATGTGGATTCTTGCAAGTTAATTGATATATTCAAGGCAATCCAGTAAAAATCTAGTTGTTGTTGTTTTTTTGGAACTCAATGATGTTATCGCATTTGAAGAAAAATAAAGTTCAAGAGCTATATCAAATTAAAAACAAAAATTGAAGAAAGGGAATTCATCTACCAGAACAAGTGTGGTATTAAAATAAAATAAAATAACAGCATGACACTGTTGCAAGAACAGGAAAACAGACCCATGGGACAGGATAGAGAGCTCAGAGACAGGCACATGAATATGTAAAAATGTAACATCTGTAAAGGAGGCCCAACAACCCCTGGACAATGGATGGCTCAGACCACAGATGATGTGGAAACCAAAAGAACTGGATTATCACACACTCCACATCAAGATGGAGTCTTCTCTTATACTTAAAAGATAAAACCATAAAGTTAAAAGAAGATATAACATAGAAGACATCTTTGTGACCTATGAGTAGGAAGGAATTCTTAAAACCCCCAACACATAAACTGGAAGACAAAAAAAAAAAAAAAGGGGGAAAAAATGCACAGAATTAAGGATTTCTGTTTAACAAAAGACACCAGGGACCAAATTAACATTCAGAGGAGAGATTCGCAGATTATCTGCAATAGCTAGATAGATCTAGAACAGCATCTTGAATATACAAGAAATTCCTGCAAATCAACAAGAGAGATGACAGGGGCTCAAGAGATAAGCAAAGAACACGAGCTAGGAATTCATGGGAGCTCAAACTCAGAGATTTAAAACATGAAGAGAAGCTCAAAGTCGCTGGTTATGAGAGAAATGGAAAATATCAAGCAATGAAATATTATCTCACATCTACTCAAGGGGAGAATTACCAAGGTGGGTGATGGTTAGGATTAAGTAGCTGAGGTGTAGGGGTAGAGAGACCTCATGCACTGATAGTGAATGTATGGACAGGAGCCACCACTCTAGAAGGCATCAGTGTGATCAAGGAAAGGTAATGGGTGTTTTACAACCTAGCAAGCTGGCTCTTGGGCATAGAACCCAGAGAAATTCTCAGACCGGTAGATAAAGACATGCACACCAAGATATTCACTGCAGTAATGAAATGGAAGCCTCCTGGGTATTAAGCTCTGAGGGACTGGAGAGGGAAGTTCTATATGACATTTCAAAGCAATAACCTAAATGCAACACAGAACCAGGGATGTCTAATAAAATCATAGTGCTACGTTTCTGAAAAAGGTAAGAACCAGCAGAACCTGATCTGTGATATAACACATATTTGTAAATTTTAAAATATATCCACCCAAAACAACAAATTATGTAAACAAATGGATTAAATGCTCTAGAATCATACTGGTGGAGGGCTGGAAGTGGAGAATTGGGATGAATGGGAATAAGTAAATATTGTATAGAAAAATGATGATAATTAGTCATGAATTGAGGGCCACGGTTAACTTCATCTTTGGCACCCGATGCCCAAATAACTAACAAATTAAAATTGTCAAGAGTATTTTTCAAACTACCCAATCCAATCACAGAATCAAATGAAATAAGTTAAAATGCAAGAAAAAAATGCAAAGTAATGAGACAGGACCAACTTTATCAAGTATGAAAATGTCTTTTAACATGATCAGGAAGACTACTTAGTACTTATGTTTGAATATGTAAATAGATAGAACAGAATGGAGTCCAGAGATAAACCCTAAGATGCGAACAAATTTAATTTATTGTAAAACTGTTATTTAAAATCCTAAGACAAATACAAAAATATGTATCAAATTCTGTTGAAATAATCAGTTAACCATTTGGAGAAAAAAACAGATTCCTACTTCAGCACTTAGACCAGTATGGATTTCATATGGAAAAAGGATTAAATGTAAGAAATAATAATAAAAATGTTAAATAAAATTTAAGTTAAATAACATTTTTGAATAAATAAATCCACTAGAAGAAAATCAAACAAGTTTTACAGTTTAGTATTAGTGTGAAGGGCTTATCCAAGCATTAAAAAAAAAAGAAGCTATAAAAAAAGCTAATAAATGTGACTATAAAGAAATGAATGAAAACTAAAGTAAAGTCAAAAGACATCCTGGGAAAGAATTTTTGCATAATATAAAAGCAACTAGGGGCGCCTGGGTGGCTCAGTCGTTAAGGGTCTGCCTGTAGCTCCGGTCATGATCCTGGGGTCCTAGGATCGAGCCCTGCATCGGGCTCCCTGCTCAGTGGGAAGCCTGCTTCTCCCTCTCTCTCTGCAGCTCCCCCCGCTTGTGTTCCCTCTCTTGCTGTGTCTCTCACTGTCAAATAAATAAAAATCTTTAAAAAAAATAAAAATAAAAAAGCAACTAATGCTCTTTCTATTTAAAGAGTCCTTATAAATCAGTAAGAAAAAAAACTCAAAGTAAAAAGGACAAATTATGCAAACTGATGCTTTGCAGGAAAAGAAATATGCATGGTTCATAAACATATGAAAATAGTGCTCAGTTTTACCCTACTTAAAGTGATATTTATTAGAATAACAAAGTATTATATTCACTTATTTAAAGTTTCATAACACACTGTCAGTGAAGATGCAAGGAAACTGCACTCTGAAAATCCATTTGTAGGAGTGGATTTGCCAAGAGCTATTAAACTGTGAAAACTCAAATGGTCTTTGATGCGGTAACAACACTTTTAGAAATTTGTTCTGGCGAGACATCCACACACATGAGCAAAAGTCAGTGTACATGGATGTTTCCTACATCATGTTTATTATAGCAAAAGCTCCCAAATTACAAGTATCTATCAACAGAGGAATGTTTAGATAAATCACAGTACATCCATGTGGTGGAATACTATACAGCTATCAAAAAGGAGGAAAGAGGGATCACTAGTCCTAACATACACTGCAGGGCAAATCTGTACAGAGATGCTGAAAGGCAGTTCAGCAGTATCTATCATAACTACAAATCTTCACATAAATGTCCCGAACAGAGGGGTGAGCTGAATAATTTATGCAATGCTATATAGCACTCAAAGGGGAGCTCTAGATGTAATAGTGAGTGAAAAGAACAAGTGACCAAATGTGTGAGCATGCATTTCTATTAAACTATAATAATTAATATAAATGTGTAACTATAAGAATTTCAGAAAAGTCTGAAAGGACATATGACAAATTGATGTCCCCAGAGTTCCCTCAGGAGACAGGGGATTGATTGATTTCATTTTGTGCCGAAAAAATAAAAAGTCTTCTTCCCATTATTGATTTTGTAATTCAAATTAATTTCCCAAAATGTATATCTTGGGAAAAAAATGAAAAGATCTTGAAGTTATATTGTCAACATGCATGCCTGAATGTTCTGTGTATACTCTTAGTTGTAGAAAGAAAACTGAAGTAAGAATTGGTGGACAGATACATGTTGGCATAGACTGAAGGACACAGGAAACCATCAAAGGTAGGGATGGGGTTGGGGTGCTGGCATAAGACGGAAGCTCATGTGAAATAATAGAAGAGGTTAACCTTCTACTCATCTTGCAATTTACATGTATACAAATCCTTGTGTTGTACACCTTAAATTTACACAATACTATATATCAAATATATCTCAATAGAGCTGAGAAAGAAAAAAAGACAAAGCCTTATATCCATGGTAAACCATTTCATATTGTTTGAATTTTTACCAAGTGCATAACTATTTGAAGTTGGAAGAAGCAGAAAAAACACTTCTCCATGTCACAGAGCTGCTGCGCTAAGCAAAGCCTTGAAGTTGAGGGCACTACTTCCAAAGTATTTGGTCTAATATCTCCTCTGCATCCTTCAGCCCTTGGCCCCAAATCTGCATCCTGGGCTCCCAGGCTCCAGCTCATCACCTCCAGTTTGCCCCTATAACTACATATATTTTTAATAATATCTGACTTTTCTCTCCTCTGCCCAAACATCTCCCATGGCTCCCCATTGCCATCCTATGTTAATCATGAATCTCCCTTCAAAAAAGAGCTTGCTGTCCAGCTGCAAGGAGTGCAGTTTGCTGACAGCATCCGTTATAGGGTCTCTGGGATCTGTGGCAGTATTCAAGCCAAGCTCTTGCTTTCTTAGGCAGCTCCCAGTCAATGACAGGGCATGATGGGTCCCTACTTCCTGACCATTTCTGCCCAAATGTAAGACTCCCCTAATGGCAGCATCCCTGCCCACTTTTATTTTCTCTTTTATCCGATATTGGCTTCCCAAAGGACTTGAACTGCCACCTTTGGAAATTCTTCACATGGTTTCCAAAGCATTCCTAAAAGGACTTCCATTACCAGCTCTAGCCTCACTGGGAGCCCCTCTGATTCTTTACACTCTAAATTTCATGAAGATCCAGCCTACTTTTACCTCCTGCCAAACATGCCAGGCTCACTCCTGTATGCCTCTATCCTGGCCTTTGCACAAGGTATCCCCAAGGCCTGGAGCATGGTCCACTACCCAAAACCAGAGTAGTAAATTCCTGTTTGCTGCTTCACTGCCCAACCTCACCCACCTTCTTTCCTATCCGCCCCAGATTTGCCCAGGTAAGACTTGAATGGGACGGGACACAGAGTTGGGAGAGGGCAAGCAGTCTAGACACGTTTATTGAACAAAGAAATGGGTAATTTTTTCACACCCAAAAACTTCTTGTGACTCCCTGCAATAGATTGTTAGGTGGTAATTAGATATAAGAGCAAAAATTAAGGGGACTGAGGATCTTTGGGCAAAACATGCAACTCCAGACAGAAAAGCAAGGGAGAAGAGAAGTTCATTTACTGAACACATACATGCTGGATGCCATCTGCTCTAAACCCATTGTCACAGTTCTCCAAGCAGTCCTGTGGAGGAGAGATTCCCTGCCCCACCCCCATTTACAGAGGAGAAAAGTGGTATTGAGAAAAGGGAACTGATTTTATTAAAGTTACATAGCAAGTAAGCAGAGAATGAAATGTGGACACTCAGATCTTTCTGTTGCATACGCCTACAAGATTTCCCTGCTTTCCAGGCTAGGTACCAGGCTGCCTCTAGGCTCTGCTCTTATTTCCAGGAAACAATAATGACAGAGTTAACAAAAAGTTCTTTGCTCTCCCCAGCTGGGGAGCAAAGACAAAGAGAGAGGTTCAGGAACAAACCATGAGGACCTGCACTCACCATTCAATCTCTTGAGGCTCACGGTCCCTCAGGAGCTCTTGTACCTCCTGCCGGCAGTGCTCCTGGTATTCTGGGTGCTTTGCAAGGTTGTACAGGATCCAGGAGAGGCCACTGGCTGTGGTGTCATGGCCTGAGAAGCAGCCAGACAGGCTTGGGTCTCTGGGCTTGTTCAGCACCAGAAGGTGGACAGCGCCTTTAATTAAGGCCTCCAGGGAGGATGGGGTGGGGTGAGCTGGTCCAGGGCCCACCTATCAAGTTCCTGGGATTGGACAGACCCCTGCCCCACCCCTCATAGTCCCACACTGGGATGCTCACCCTCAAACATGAAGGTGTCAGCCTCTGCTCGGATGTCCTCATCTGACAACTGTTTTCCACCTTCATCCTGGAAAAAGGAGAGGACCTCTTGAATCACGCCAGCTCTGAGGGTGTCTGAGTCTAATCTGAAACAGTCCCTCAGGCTCCATCATCAAAGTAGGATCTGTCCTTCATCACCTCTAGGGCCCACCCCACAGGTCTCCTCCCTGGTCTCCAGCCTTTTATTTATCCCTTCCACACTGCCTTCTATAGAGTCATGTCTAAAACATATCGCTGACCTATCTCTCCCTTCCTCAAGCACCTTCTGCGGTTGCCCAGTGCACTGCAGGTCAAGTCCAAGTCCTTCCACGTGACATTTGAAGTCAAGGTCCACCCTATCTCTTGAATTCTGATCCCAGGGAAGCCCACCTTGGCCAGCAGGAGCACATCGATTAAGTCCAAAGTCTTGGTCTTAGCCTTGGCCTTGAGGAAGTCATGGGAACCCCCGCTAATGAGGGCACGGCGCCGCTCCTGGATGACAGCATCTGTGAAGTTGTGCACCAGGTTACAGGCCCTGCGGAAGCGCCATCCATCAGGAGTGAGATTGTATAGGAAGTCCACGTGCAGGAAGATCTGCTCTTGCCGTTTCACCACAAGGGCACTGAGTTCCAAGATGGCAGCAATATATTCACTGGGACTCCTGCAGGGCCAGGCCAGAGAGAACCTTAAGAAACACCTTTTTAACCCACATGAAACCCTAGGAGTGCCTTCCAACCAGAAACCCAGAAGCACTGTGGCAGATGCTTTGCTCATCAGAGCCCCCTGGCCTTCACCCAAAACAAGAGAGTTCTCCAGGCATGTTTTTCCCTCTACATCCCACCTCTATGAGAGCCTCATGTCCCAGACTCCAGGGTAGAGCTTGGGCATCATGCTTGTCTCCTCTCTTTCCTACACAATATCTGACCCTGCCCATTCTTCCTTAGTCTCTCACAAATCTGCCCCATTTTCTCTGCCAAATTCAAGCCTCCTCCTCTCCATGGTCTCCTTGAATTCTGTGTCTATACTAAACAGCTGGTCTTCTCTAGAATCAGATGTCCAAAAACAGCTTTGACCATGACCCTCATCTATTCAAACACCCTCCATGCCTCCCTGGAAACCTCAGGAGAAATTTCATATGCCTTTGTCTGGATTTTGAATGTCCTTAAGATATAGCCCCTGCCAAGCCCTCCAACCTCATTCCCAAGGCGGCTCCTCACTATGACACATGCTTTGCTCATCCTAGCTCCCTGGACCTTATTAAACATTTCTACCTACCTGAAACGATCACTCTTTCTCTTTCCCTTCCTTGTCCTTCAATGTCTACTTCTGATCCATCTCCTCCAGGAAGTCCCTTCTGATTGCCCTGGTCAGACCCCCCTTCCCCATCTATTCCCTTGGGTCTATGGTTCATGTTCCCATGCCCTGGACAGACTCACTCCTGGCAATTGCTGTCAAAACTGAAGACACATTTCTGCAGACTGTCCAGGGTCATGAGGCTGATGTGCTCAAACATGTCTAGTTGGGCACTGCCTTCCAAGGCCAGACGCTGCCACTTGGCCTGGACAGAGAAAGGGGCAAATCTGGGGCTGGGATCTGACACTCCTGAGCTCCTCCTCAGCCCAACCACCAAGTTGGACTCCCCCAGACCTCCTGGTCCTCCTGGATCAGCCTCCTGATCCTCCACCCCAGACACCCAACACCAGGAAGGACCAGGCTTGGGTGAAAATGGAAACTGTTACTATTAAGACGCCATTAAGGGGGGGGGGGTGTGAGACCCTGTGGTCGGGAGTCAGGAGACCTGAGTTCAAAACCTGGCTCTGCCTCCTATACTCTGTGTGCTCTTAGTCAATTCATTCCTCCTGTCAAAGTCCATTGGGCTCTATCTGTCAAACTTTAGTAACAGGATGACTTGCTTTGGTGTCAGACAAAGCAGGTTGGAATCACAGCTTCACTTATTAGTTTACTTGCTAGCTATGTGAACATGGGCAAGTGCTCTAATCTCTCTGAGTCTCAATTTCATCACCCGTAATGGGGCAATAATCATCATCTCTACCTCATATGGTTGTGAAAATTAAATTAGACAACATATGCAGTACAACTGGCGCATCATTTCTGATATACAGCAAGTGCTGAATAACTGTTAGCTATCATCCTCGTCTTCATCATTATCACAGTGGTAGGTGACTGCTGCAAAAATGTCCCCATTTTTTGTCCCTCCCTATACCTTCACCCTTTGCAATGAGATTTTGCAGGTCTTCCATTAGGAGGTAGAACCTTTTTCTCCAGCTCTTGAGCTGAATGTGGGACTTGCTTTGGCCAACAGAAGAAGGTGGAGGTCATAGTTGCCCATTCTGAAATTAAACTTCAAGAGATATTGCATGTTTCTCTTCATTCTCTTGGAGCCTCCACCATGTGATCAAGCCCAGGCTAGCTTATTGGAGGATGAGGGACAAATGCAGGCATCCAGCTGTTTCACCAAGACGATCCTCAACCAGTGCACAAACAAGCAGCAGAGCTGAGCCTGGACGAGCAGAGTTGTCTCCCAAACCCGCCCATGTCCACAGATGTGTGAGTGATTCCAGCCAAGATAAGAACTACTCTACTGATTCATCATCTTGGAAGCAACAACAAACATTCATTTTTTTCAACCCAGTGAGTTTTAAGGTGAATGCTCTGCAGAAAGAGCTACTATACAATCTTCATCATTTATGTCTTGAATTTTACAGTTTCAGTGAAGCAGACTAGAAACTAAAACGTTCTGAGCACCTTTTATGCGCCAGGATCATGATTCCATTATATCACCTTGACCACCCTTTAAGCCGGGCTTATATCACACACACACACACACACACACACACACACACACACACACACACATTTTACAGATGGGGAAACGGAAGGTTGGAGAGAAAAAGGAATGGCCCTAAAACCATACAGCAAAGCCAGGACTCCAGATCATATGTGTCTGAGGCTACTTCCCTTTTCCCAAGGCCCCAGCTGGGTCCCTGGATTTAAGGAACTCACATGCATGATGCCTGCACTTTTGTTGAAAATCTTCACATAGGGTTTCAAGATGTCAAAATGGAAGGCAGGTGTCAGCAAGCGACGGTGGTGACTCCACTTGTCACCAGCACTCAGCAGGAGCCCATCCCCTAGTAGAGGCAGTCACAAGGAATGGACAAGGGTGGTGCCTTCCCCTGAGACCTCAAGGTCAACCTTGAGGTCAACCAACCCCCTTCACCAACAGTTACTCACCTAGCCAGGGCTTCAGGAGGTTGTAGAAAAACATATCCTTGGGTATGATGGTGGCTGACACAAGAGATAGACAACCAGGAGCCATGGAGAAAAGGTGGGGAGGGGCTTTTGGTTGGGAGGTGGACGATCCCAACCAGCGGTCTGCATACTCCCTCCAAGCCCAGCATAGCAGGAATGGGAACAAGAGCGGAGGAAACAGAGAGGAGTGGGTAGATGAAGGGGGCCCAGACCAGGCTGCAGCACAGAGCAGAACAAAGACAGAACCTGCAGACACACCCCCATGTACTTAGATGCACCCTAACATGGCACAACACACCCCAGCCCATCTTGACATGGCTCCTACCTGGTCCAACGTGTTCAAAACCCCAAACACAAATCCACAAAATGTCTTTACTGGGACCTAGGACACCTCATCTGCCCCAGAACCCCTGACCTCTCCTGCAACAACTGACATGGCCCCACCATGTGTTAACACGTCCTGACATGAAACAACATGTGTAACACACACTGACAGGACACAATGTGCTCTGACATGGACCCAAAGACAACCTGACATGACCTCAGTGTGACCCACAAATGGTCCAGACAGGATTTAAAGTTCCCATTAATGTCCCAGACATGGCCCAGGCATGACCTAGCTTTCCTCAGTATCCTCTTCCACCTCATACTGGCCATTAAATGCTTAGGTAAGGAGTTGCTATGTCCTTAAAGAAACCAAAGGATGCTGCCACCCTCGGATGCTGAGCTCCACCCACCACGAAGAGCTGCCCTTGGGCTCTAGACCAGCCCCCCAGGGCCAACCAGACAGTTGACCGACCTGAGATCTGGTAGGCATTCCCCCAAAATACTCTGGCCATCTTCATACCCCAAATCCCTTTCCAGCTTAGAGTCCCTTCCAGCAGAGGCAGCTAGAGCAGCCAAGAACACACACAAAAGAGGGAAGCTTCAACATACTATGTGGCCTTCAGAAGTTATTATGCCTCCTTGAGCCTTTGTTTCCTCACCCAAGAAATGCTCACCTAGCTGTGATGCCGGTGGCTGAACATCTGTGGTATCTATTTGCCCAGCATCCATCCCCTTCTGGAACTAGCATCTCATTGCTCCTCCATTCTCAATCCAAGTAATTAGGAGGTTGACCATGCCACCCCATTCCCTGTTCCAGAGCTAAGCATATGACCCTAAGCCTCAGCAATCAAGTCTCAGTGACTAGATGAAAAACTGGTCTCTGTGACCCAGGCCAGGCCAATTTAAAAGAATCCTGCAACTTTTTCCAGGTCTGCAGAGAATGAGCTCACATTTCCATGGGAGCTGAGCTTCTCAGACTTGTCTTTTCAGCATGAAAGTGAAGCTGTCAGAGAAGAACACAGAACTACAAGATGAAGACAGATTCCCAATGGCACTGTTTGAAGACCAAGATCCAACCATGTCAACTATACCTAAAGACAATACTCTCTCAGCTTTTCAGTCAATAGATTCACTTTCTTTACTTAGACCAACAGTGTTGAATTTCCACCACTCAAAACTGAAAGGGACTGGCAACCAGAGAGAGCCAGGGACCTGCCCGGAGTCATTCATTTGGTTATTGGCAGGTCTCTGTCAACATTACCCATTTCCTTGTTCAACCTGGTCTGTCCAGGAATGGGAAGGGCTGGGAGCAGAAGCAGGGGAGTGGCTAGGCTGGGGATCCTGGGAGAGATACCTGGGGCCTGGAGCAGGGGTGCAACAAAGGTAGGGTGGACGAGCCGCAGTACAGGGTAGAAGGGCCCCATCCACCAGAGGTGAACATCACGGAAGTAGTGGCCCAGATCCTCTATCATCCGCAAGCCTTCCTCATTGCTCTTCACCTGGAGATGGGAGGGCCAGGGAAAATGGGTGGGAAGAATGAGGCCAGGTCAGGCAGGAGACCCCAGAGCTCACAACTGTCCACTGCAACCCTCCACCCACCACACCCCCTCCTCCACTTCTCCTTCTGCCCACATTACTAGTCTACGCTTCTATATCTCACTAAATCAGCTTCCTTCTGTTGGTCTGTTTGTCTTTTTGTGTGTCTATCTCTAAGTCTCTCCCTGTCTCCTCACTCTCTTCATCTATTTCTTTAGATGTTGATAGATAGATGATGATGATGATAGATAGATAGATGATAGATAGATAGATAGATAGATAGATAGATAGACAGACAGCTAGATGATAGATGGAGATAGAAAATGGAGGAATGGAAGATGGAGATGGATGGATGGATGATGGATGGATGGATGGATGTGTGGATGGATGGGTGGATAGATGGATGGGTGAATTGATGGGTGGCTGGAAGGACAGATGGAGAGAGTCAAGAGATGGATGTATAGATGATAGATATGTGTTTGCATCTGTGTATGTGTGTTTCTTTTACACTCTTGTGTATGTCCTCTGTCTCCCTCACTTTGTATCTCCCTCTTTCTTCACCCATGTTTCTCTCTCCATCTCTCCTACTCCCTGAGTCTGTGCCTCCTCACTTCCACACCCTCCATGGCTCCCCAGAGCCCTCAGAATAAAGTCCCTGCCCCTGCTGCCTCTGCTGTCCCCTCCACCTTTTCCTGCATCTCACCAGCATTGCTCTCACTGAACTGAACTCCTTGTTGCTCAAAAACCAAGTGCTAGCTCTATCCCCTCCAGGCCTTTAAGTGGGCTGTTCCTCTCCACAGTATACACTTTATCTTTTTTCTTAAAAAAAAATTCCTACACATCATTCCAGACCCACTTCCAGTGACTCCTCCTCCAAGAAATCTTCCAGCCTGCCCACACAGCAGAGGCCTTGCTTCCCCCTGGGTTCCTACAGCCCCTGTCTCTCCCTCAGACCCATTCTAACCACACAGAATTGGGGATGTCTCTAGTTCTATGTGCCCAAGACTGGGGTTCCTCCAGGACAGAGCCTGGGGCTGAATCTCTCCAAGCATCCCGAAGCGGTGTGCAGAAAGAAAGAAATGACCGAGGGCACCTGAGAGCAGGAAGGGCCTTGGCATCTACAGAGGCTGCCCAGAAGCTTGGTAAGGAGGGGCTTGCAGCCCTCTGATGCTGCTACAGGTCCCACTACCACATGTTCCAGGTGGGTACCTGTGGCATGGTGACAGATCAGGCAATGTCAGGATTGCAAAAAATGGTGAGAGCCCAGGCAGAACATAAGTCCCTGGGTGTAGGTGGCCACCAGCTGACTTATGACCCTCAAGCCCCGCTCCATGGGGGGGTGGGGGGTGGGGGGAACTACAACGAAACAGGGCCGTCACTTCCCCAGAAGAAGCCACAGCATGACCCCTGTAGCCTCTACAGTGGACAGAGTGTGCAGAATCTGCATGGATGGAGGGAATCTCTGCTTTCCTCCTGTTCCTTCACTCTGGGTACAGGAGGGTCCTGGAGGCCTCTCCATGTCCCAAGGGCGCACCCCAGATCACAGGGAGAAGACATGCTTTCTGCGCACAGAGAGGCTGACCTTGGCTTGAGAAGTTAGATTCTTCTTCTCCTGGGAGTGGTTCCAACCTCAGCAATGTCCCCATGGAGGAGGTTTATGGTCAGCACGGTGACCTCAGGACTTGTACAGGGGCTCATTCCCACACCCTGTCATGTCCTGGCCAGTCTACACAGTCCCCAGTTCCCACACGGTGAAGGGTCTGCAGACCTTCCAGCCCTGGCAGGCCCCAGCAGACAGACGTGAACTCTGCTCATCAGTCAGGAAGGCAGCTCCCACCTATGAGCCCCTACTTCCTGCCTGGCTGTACACAGAGTATCCTGTCTGTCTGTCTATCTATCTATCTCTTTCTATCTCCCCTGCACCTATGGACTCTCCCATCAGTCATGTCATTTACAAATTAAGAAACCAAGGCCACATCCCCCAAAAGGAGAAGTGGGGGGTTAGCTCCTGGGAAGACATCCTCTCCAGTCCTCCATCCCTCCAGGATGCCTCATCCTGGCCTTACAAATACTCCCATGTGCTCCAGACAGGTGAACATAAGCCATTTTCACCTTTTTGACTGCCCCCTGATCCTCAAGGACCCTGAGACACTTGATGACTTTGGCCCAGAGAGGGAGGGTGATTCAGCTGAGGTCACACACGCAGCAAGAGGGACTAGCAGAGAGAAGAGTGACCCAGAGCAGTTTCCATGGCAAAGCCCTTAGAGGAGGACATAGGAGCTGTGGTAACTTTATAACATTGCTACTACTTCCAGGGCTTGCTGAGAAATTTCCAAGACCCAGAATTTTAGGCAACCTTCAGCACAATTTCGGGACATCTTGTTCTATAATAAGCTGGTCTGCAGGAGGGGAAGGGAGAAGCTGGACACCCATCCCTTGGGCATTGGATGACCAAGAGAGGTGATAGTAAGTTCACCCAAACCTAGGACATGGCTCCACCATGACATCATCAAACATTTATTAAGTTCCAACTGTATGTCAGCTCCTGAGCTGGGCATTATAGATATCATGGCTATCCCCCAGTGCTACTGTCCAGTGAGAGAGAGATATAATACACTAATAATTGGACAATTAACTGTTTAAGCTTGAGCAGGACCAAGTCAGAGGTCAAGTTCTAGTGGGGGGAAATCAAGGGAGGCTTGGAAAAGTTACACTTGAGCTGAAGATTGGACAAAAAGGAGGGATCGACCCAGTGGCTACAGGAAGGGAAGCCCTCCCTGGCAAAGGAGCAGCATATGCAAAGGCCCTGAGGTAGGAAGGGTTTGGCTTGTTGAGAAGAGAAAGCAGAAGCTTGGAGTATCTGGGGTATGCAGTGGGCCTGGCAACATTTAGTCTCTATGTTGAGAACGATGGGCAGTCTCATAGAATGGTTTTCAGCCAAGTAATGGTATTAACAAAAGCTAAATTTCAGAAAAATCTCTCCAGGGCTCAAGAGAGGAAGGGTGACAGGGGACAAGAGTGGCAATAAGGGGCGTGAGCAGTCAGAGGGAGGGCTTCCTGGAGAAAGATGCCAGTGGATGTGGCGGGAGAAGTGGCAGGAGGCTGCAGAGAAGGGACAGACTGAGGAGAGGCTGTGGAGGCAGCACGTCTGGTCATGCTGAAGGACCTGACTGCAGGAGAGAAAAGAGGGGGGCCAGGGTTCCCGAAGTGTGAGAAGTGGGCAAAAGAAGGATGGACAAGACTGAGGATGGGACAGCGCCAGGAAGGGACCCTGAGTTCAGACTCTGACTTGGTAGAATGAGATGCGTAGGAGACCCCCCCGAGAAAGGGAGGCTGGGGATGCAGAGATCTGAACTTGAACTTGTAATTCACTTGGGAGCCAGAGCCTGGGGTAAGGTGATGGCCTTGGGAGCCAGAGAAGAAAGAAGGCGGATTAGAGCCCTGAGGGCTCCCCACATGGAAAGGGAGGGTGAAGAAAGAGCCCAGTGGAGCCCAGGGGAAGGCTGTGTGCTAGAATGCTAAAACCCAGAGCACAAGGAGGTTTGGGGCTGATGCAGTGGTCCGCAAGGCCAGACTGCTTCTGAGAGGTGACGAAGTCCTGGTCGTCTTGTGGGACAGGCGTGGGAACCAAGCTGGAGCAGGGAAAGATTGGCCAAATGGGGGCACTAAGTGAAATAAGTTTCGCCATTAAGGTCCAGGCCAGAGTGATTCCTGGTCAACTTTTATCCAGGTTGAGCAATGGAGCCCACTGATATTCCTTGGGGGTGGAAGACAAGATTACAAAAGGAGGAAGGGGAGGAAAAGGACAGACAGCCCACATCTATCCTCCAGCCCAGCTGTGCCCCCATGGGGGGAGGGGAGGGAAGGGCAGAAGTCATAGTTGATTCCTGTGGAGACAGGAGCACCTGCTGGCCTGAGGCCAACAAAGATGGGCCAGGCAGGGAGTGGACCCTGGACAGTGGCCCTGGGGAGACTGGGGGGGCACCAGGGGACCCGGCTCATGTAGCCCTTCACTGCCATCCCAGGCCCCAGCCAAATCCCTGATCCCCATCCCAGACCCCTCAGGAAGTCCATCCACCTTGATACCCCAAACCCGTCTCCCACCCACACTCACCAGGCCCAGGTGACCCCAAAGCCAGCTGCGCCTCGGAGGCTGCGGGAAACACTGGAGGCGGCAGCAGTTGTCATAAAAGCTGTGGCTCCAGGTCAGGATGCGGGCCAGCAGCCAGGCGGCCCCAGCCAGCAGCAGGAAGTGCCACGGGGAGGCTGCCAGCTGCCCCAGTCCCAGCCAGGACAGGCTCAGCTGTGACATCCTGGAGCAGGGGAAACAGAGGGTGAGTTCCTAAGACCCAGGAATGGGGTAGAAAGGTGAGCTCCCCGGACTGCTCATAAACAGAGGGAGAGGGCCCAGGATGGGAGGGACAGGGACCGGGACAGGATGGGAGGGGCAGGGAGCGGCGGAGAAAGTGAGCACTACGAACTGGGCAAACATTTGGGGTTGGGGGCAAAGGGGGAGGAGGATCAGGAGAATTCCAGAGGAAGAGGGAGAGATTGGGGTGAAGGAGGGAGAAGAAAAAGAGAGAGAGACTGAAGAAAAAACACCCGAGCGCAATCAGCGGGAGGTTGTCAGGAGATCCGCTAACAAGGAAACCACCATCCCCCAGCCAGCCAGATTCCCGGAGTCACTTCTGCCTGGAGCACTGCCCCGCCCCAACCCCCCTCCTTGCCACCAGAACACTCTCAGCCGGGCCTGCCCCACCCGGTCATCTTCTTCCACAGGCACAGATTCCACATAAGCTTCACCCCCTCCCACCCCCCAGGAAGGTCTTTGTCCCCTGTCCCTGACCTCTGAACTGGGGGAGGCTGGGCTTGGCTGGGTCAGCCAATGGCAGCATGCCGGTCTGCCACCTCCCCATCTGGCAGCCACCCAAGACCTGAGGACAGAGCCAGCGGGATACACCAAGAAACCAGTCCAGGGTCACATGGCGGGGTGCTGGATCCTCAGAACTCAGCCCGTCCCACGTGGGGGGGTGTGACTTGGGGCATGGGCAAAAGGGACTCTGGACTCCCAAGTTAACAGCCACCCCTGCCCTTTCAAAGCTGGGGTGCAGCAGGTAAAAATTTGAACTTGAGAGTTTAGGCGTCAGGGGAACAGGATCAGGCCCAAAACTTATCTGGGGCTCCCCTCCGTATGCGTGAGTCAGGAGGGTGGCCTGCACTAGTTTTTAGCACAGAACCAGGAAGCCTCTGGCCCCCGGACTGCACACCCTGGCAGGAGTTCAAGTCCTGCCTCCAAGCAGCCCAGGGCCTAGGCTGAGACATGACTGCTGGGGCAGGAACAAAGGAACCGGCCTGGCTGGGTGTTACCTGCATCAGATTCAGGGGGTCAGGGGCCCAGTCAGAAGGGGACACCTGGGAGTGAGGAGGTAAGGCTGCAGGGGGTCAGGGGGCCAGGAGACGGTGTGGCCAGACAGAGGAAGCAGAGCTTCCTCTACATGGAGTTCTGCCCCATCCTGGCTGTGACTGTGAGCTGTGCCAGCTCCCTTGGGCTCAGTCTTACCATCTGGGAAATGGGATGCCAAATGAGGGCCTGAGAGGGGGCACATCGTATCCAGATCCTGTCCTGAATTTCCCTGAGAAGTGGTCTCAGCCCCTCATGAGGTCTCCCCATGTCAGGCTCCAAGGTGAGGGTGAGTTTGAAGGGTGGACCTGCTGAGCAAGAGAACTAGAACCCACATTTTTCCTGCAATGACAGGACGCCAGGGAAATGCATTTCCCCTCCGGGACCCACACAAGCACTCCAGCCCAGCCTGATCCAGCCACAAGTGGCCACTGGAAGCCCTCTGCAAGCTGAGGTACACTGCCCTGGATATCCCTCCTGCTCTGCGGCTGGAGAGGTCTGAGGAGGAACAGGAAGAAAGAGGAGGAAAGAACAGTCCAGGGAGGTGCTCTATCTCCCTGGAGCTGTACAGCCAAGTCATTCCACTGGACAGCACAGGTAAAGGTGAAGCTGGGCACTTAGTGGGTACTCATTAACTATTCAGGGAAGAAAGGGGCTTTTGTAGCCTTGAGCTCTAAGAACTGACCTCAAAATGGGGTCCTCAGCCCATGAGCACTGGCATTACCAGCAGCATCTTAGAAATGCAGAATCTCGGCTCAGTCGTTAAGTGTATGCCTGTGGTTCAGGTCGTGATTGCAGGATGGCTTGAGTTGTGATCCCAGGGTCGTGGGATCGAGCCCCGCATCCAGCTCCCTGCTCAGCAAGAGGTCTCCTTCTCCCTCTCCCTCTGCCCTTTTCCCTGCTTGCTCTCTCTCTCTCTCTCATTCTTGGCGTCCACATGCACACAAATAAATAAATAAATAAATAATTTGAAAAATAAATCATTTTAAAAAATAAAATCATTTTTAAAAAATCATTTAAATCATTTTTTTAAAGTCCCATTTACAATAGCATACTTAGGAATAAATTTAAGCAGGGACACCTGGGTGGCTCAGTTGTTGATAGTCTGCCTTCGGCTCAGGTTGTGATCCTGGGGTGCTGGGATTGAGCCCTGCATCGGGCTCCCTGCTCAGCGAGAAGCCTTCTCCCTCTCCCACTCCCCCTGCTTGTGTTCCCTCTCTCGCTGTGTCTCTCTCTGTCAAATAAATAAATAAAATCTTTGAAAAAGAAGGAGGAGAAGGAGGAGAGGGAGAGGGGAGGAGGAGAGAGGGAGAGGAAGAGGGGGGAGGAGAGGGAGGGAGAAGAGGACGGGGGCGGGGGGGGGCGGGGAGGAGGAGAAAAGAAAGAAAGAAAAAGAAATGCAGAATCTCGGGCTCTAACACAGACCCACAAATGTAGTGGCTGTAATTTTCTTTTGCCATTGTCCCCGGCAAGGTGAGGAATTTATTTCCCTTCTCCTTGAATCTGGACTGGTCTGGAACTAGTCCCCAGTAGCGTGTGGGAGAGGTTGTGTCATGCCAGTTATGGGCAGTAGAGGGCCGGCAGACCCCCAAAGCCTCTGTGGCCATGGAAGGACAGAATCCACCCATCAGGGACTCCTCACTTCCTGGATCAGGTGACAGGAGGCAGAAAGGGAGTAAGAGACCCAGTGTGGGAGGCAGAAAGCTTCCAGGGGGTACTTTCTGCTCTGAGTCAGAGGAGGCTGGAGCGTCCATTTCTCATCCAACAAGAGAGGTCCCAGCTGCCAAGTCACACAAGCCTGGCTTAGGGAATGCCGCCCAGCCAGTGTTGGGGGGAAGGCGACCAGCCACATGCTGACAGGTAGAGGCTGATCCATCTCTAGGGGTCCTTCTGTCCCCACTCACAGCCAGGCAGTGGACAAGCATGTGTCAGATCAGAGGTGGCAGTCACTCTGTGAGTCATCAGCCTCAGGTACAGCCTGTCACCCCTCTGAGCCTCAGTCTTCACGTCTGTAAAATGGGCTTAATCAAACCTCACAGAGGACTGTAAGCATCCTATCAGACACGGGCAGAGAGGACAGGAGAAAGTACAACTCTAAATGATATGTAAATAATGGTTTCATCACAACTTACGGGGGTGCCTAGGTGTCTGTGTGTGCACATGTTTGCATACACATTGAAAAAATTCCAGAAGAATCCACACATTGAAGTGGAATTGGAGGAAGTGGAATGGGAGTCTTTACCCTTCTAACTTGCTACTTGTCTCAGATTCTCTCTCCCTCGCTGAGCTGCTATCATTTTTATCATTATAATACTAAAAGGATTTGGCACAGGGTGGAGGGGGGCAGCCCGTAGTTGGTGCACAAAACAGATAAGCAGGTTTTCTTTTGTGTCGCACATCCCAGGAGTCAGCCTGGGGTCTCCCTAGAGCAAGCATGCAGGCTGCCTAGTGGCCGGGGTCCCTCTTTTCCTTTCCTTGGCCATTGGGAAGGAACACTTCTGGATTCAGCACGACAGAGTTCAGATCCCAGCCCTGCTTCTCGCTGGCTGTGTGACCTTGGTGAGGTCGCTTGCCCTCTCTGAGCTTCGTGTCCTCCTCAGTAAAATGGAGAGAGGGACTTATACCTCCCAGGTAGTTCATTCTCCAAAAACAAACTGTACTTGGGCACCCTGTCTGTACCTAGGCATGGTGCTAGGACCCGAGACCTGGGATGAACAAGACAGATGAGGTGTCTGGATGGTGGTGCTCATGTCTGATGGGAGAAGCCAAAAGGAAATAAGACCAAGTCAGATGGTGGTAATGAAGGAAATTAACAGAGCAAGACATGCTAGCAAGTGACCAAGGGGGAATATTCAGAGGGGCAGTCAGGGAGGACTGCCCTGTAGAGGTAACTCTGAGCAGAAACCTGAATGATGGGGAGGAGTGAGCCGTGAATAAGGACCGCCCCCTGAAGTCAGGCCAGGACTATAAAGACCTAGCACAGGGCGGGGCACGCATGTTTGTCTTACACATGTTCATTCTTGCTTTTGTCCTCAGACGGGCTGAGACAACCAGGGCTGGCGGGGCCCCTGCTATCAGGGCAGTGGGAGTAGCAGGAACCAGCCCTGGTTGGGGAAATCGGACCATTCAGCCCAAAAGGTGGCTCTGGAGTTTCACTCTACAGAATCAAGAAGTCAAAACAGGCTCCTAAAGTCATGTTGAGGGTAAAACCAGCTAGCAGAGCTGCCGGATTCCTGGCCCAGGCAGCAAAAGACCAAATGAACTGGTTGAGGAGGCAGCAAACCTAGAGGAAAACTCAAGAAAAATTCGGAGGGCACGCAACAGCTAGGAACAACCCCAAGGGTATTTTCGTAGGCACGGTACTCAACTGACACCCTCCCTCCTCCCACACCTGTCCCTCCTCCTCCTCCTTCTCCACTCTCTCCCTCCTCTCCCCTCCTGCCCCTCCCCATCTCTTTCCACTCCCCTCTCCTCCCCCTCCTCCCCCTCCTGCCCCTCCTCTTCCTTCCCCGGTCTCCTGCTCCTCTCCCTTCTCCTCTCTCTCCCTCCCTGATGATTGGGGGATGACTGCTCCCAGAAACTAGCCTGACCACCACCAACACCCCAAGCCACAGAAGAGAGACTAGGAGAAGCGACCCTTGGGAAGTGTAGCGTCCTAAAAAGAGACCATTTGCCCGCAAGTAGTAGATTACAGATGGCAGCAATGAACTCTGCTAACCCTCCCCATGAGAGGGGGTGAAGGTTAGTTTTTTGTGTCAGCTAGACTAGGCGGCAGTACCTACTTGTTCACTTAAACACTTATTAGGTATTGCTGTGAAGGTGTTTCGTACATGGAGTTAACACCTGCGAGCAACTGGCTTTAAGTAAAGGGATAAATCACACCACGTCAATGTAAATGGGCCTCATGCAGCCAGGTGAAAGGTCTTAAGAGCAAAAACTGAGGTTTCCCAGAGTAGAAATTCTGCCCTGAAACCACAGCAACTGCTCCTGAGCTTTCAGCCTGGTGGCCTGCTGGCCTACAGATTTCAGACTGGCCAGCTCTCCAGTCACACAAGCCAATGCCTTAAGAGAAATCTTTATATGTACATATATGTGTGTATATTTTTATCTTAAGAGAAACTAAATCTTAAGATAGAAATTTATATATAATCTTTATATCACATATAAATCTTAAGATAAATACACAGTATATAGAGAGATGATAGTTGTAGATAGATGGATAGATGGATGGCTAGATAGGATGATAGATAGATAATAGATAGATGGATGGATAGGTAGACAGATGATAGATAGATAGACGGATGATAGGTAATGAATAAGTGGCAGAGAGAGCTCAAGGCTATTGGTTCTGTTTCCCTGGAAAACCCTGACTGATACAGAGGTAAAGTATCATTCCTTTCTCCTTGAACCCCGGCTGTCCTCTGTGACTCTGGGAACTTGTGAATCTAGGTTGTAGGAAGACTTGCGACTTCCTGGGGCACGTGGGTGGCTCAGTCAGTTAAGTGTCCGCTTTTGGCTCAGGTCATGATCCCGGGGTGCTGGAATAGAGCCCCACATCCGGCTCCCTGCTCGGCAGGAGGCCTGCTTCTCCCTCTCCCACTCCCCCTGCTTGTGTTCCCTCTCTCCCTGTCCCTCTCTGTCAAATAAATAAATAAATAAAATCTTTAAAAAAAAAAAAAAAGACTTGCGACTTCCTTCTCATCCCTTTGGAACACACCGGCTTGGACTCAGCTGCCATGTTAAGAGGAAGCCCAGGCAACCCCCACGGAGAGGCCCCACGTCAAGAGGAACTAAGCACCCCAGCCAACAGCCAGCGCCAAATTGCTACGAGACTGAGCCGTCTCGGATGTGGATCTTACAGCCTCAAAAGCTCTGCCCCAGCTGACGCCACATAGAGCAGAGAAATCTGCCCCAGTTTTCTGCCCAAATCATAGCGAGCAAACTCAAGTTTGCCACCTTAAGCCAACAAACTTCCTGGCAGCTCATTATACAGTAACAACGAACTGGAACAAATACCTTTCCCGACATTGGCAGTCCTTTAAAAAAATGGTTATATGTGCAAAAATGTTTGTATGTACATTGAAAAATGTTCACATATGCAATTGTTTTCAAACTGGAAAAAAAAAAAAAATCCCAAACTGCTGGGCTGGGAGTATAGAGCAGAGACCACTGTGGGAGAATTTCCTTTTTAAATGTCTACACTTGGGGTGCCTGGGTGGCTCAGTGGGTTAAAGCCTCTGCCTTTGGCTCAGGTTATGATCTCAGGGTCCTGGGATGGAGCCCCGCATCAGGCTCTCTGCTCAGAGGGGAGCCTGCTTCCCTCTCTCTCTCTCTCTCTGCCTGCCTCTCTGCCTACTTGTGATCTCTGTCTGTCAAATAAATAAATAAAATCTTTTAAAAAATAAATAAATGTCTACACTTGCATAAACAAAAGCATGATTCAATTTCTACACTTGCATATTTTTTTTTTTACCTCAAGCCAATGTAATATTTGGAGAGAGAGGAGATAAATGAATAAAGTACTTATAACAACTCTCCCTGGCTCCCGGTCAGTACCAATAATGTGTTTATCATTATTTCCCTTATATTATAACAGAACGAGGACATGAGCCCCACCCAGGAGACGTGGGTGTCTCTGGTGCACATATCGGGGAACTTACTGGTTGTGAATGTTCCTCCCCTCCTACTTCATTCCCTTGGTCCTTAGCAGGGAGGAAGCTCTCCAGGGAGCAGGTGCTAGGGTCAGATGGCCAATGGTCACAGCCTACCTTTGCCACTCTCCAGCTGTGTGACCTTGGGCAAGTGACTTGCCCTCTCTAAGCCTCAGGTTCCTTCTTGGTTAAAAAACGGCATAGTAATAGGCTTGTGGGGATTGGAGGAGTGACTTCTGTGTCTTGGTTTCCTTTTCCCAGAAATAGACTATAATACAAGGATTCAAGTACAAGTACAAAAATTGTATTCTGAGACAGGAATTCAACTGCAAATTGGTTTTTTTGGGAAGTGACCCCAGAAGATGCCAGTAGGGCAGTGAGATGGAGTAAGACAGAGAAGGGAAGGCAGCAGGGGAACAGGGCTTTGTCAAAGAAGTTCCCACTTGGGGGACCTGGGGTTTAGTCCCTCTGGGGACCTCTGGGACACAGCAGTGAACAGGCAATCGCCAGTCATTACTCAGGGCCGTTGCCAAGGGCGTTATTTCTCCAGAATGTCCTACCTGCACCAACACGGTGGAGTTTGGACCGTCGCCTGATGTGGACACTTACAAATGTTCAGTGAGTGGAGTTCTCCCTCTTCTCTTCCCAATACACCCACAAACAGTGTCACACACACACTCACACTCATAGATACATCATGGATACATATATGCTCACAAACACACACATGCGTGCACACGCACAATCGTATGCACACAAGCACTCACACAATACACCCACACTCCACACTTGCACATGTACACACACTCACATGCACATATGGCCACTCTGGTGCACACATCCACACACTTACTCACACATATGTGCACATACCCAAACATGCAGTCACGAGCACACCCTCATGTGGACTAATGGAGACCAGACGCTGTAGAGCCTGCTGTTCCCCAACTATCCAGCAGAGGGAGCCTGCGACACACTCAGGAGAGGAGGGAGACCCACAGCAACCAGTGAATGGCCCAGGCCTGCGTGTTTGGAGAATCCGACACGCAGATGCAGCAGGTCCCGGGGATCCACGAGCCCCATGCCTCCACTCCCCTCTCCCTCATTCACCCACCATCACCGACCTTAGCGGAAAATTAATATGCATGAGAAGTATGATGGAAAAAATCCACTTGGCGAAAGAGAACCAGGTGCAGAAGGGGCCAGTCACGTGCCCAAGGCCACCGCTAGAGAGGGGCAGAGCTGGGGTTTGAACCCACATATGTCGCCTCCCAAGACCAAGTTTTTTTTTTTTTGCTGGAGGATGAGTGGCCTCGGACGGGGGATTCCGGCCGGCGATCCCAGCACACGCCACCCGAGGGCGCCGCAGGACACACACCGCTGTGGCCTCTAGCATCACAAGCATCACACCTTCTCTACACGCCCCCCACCCACCCAAGCCTGCCGACATCCCCTTATAGGCAAACCGAGGCTAGGGACCCAGACCAGCACTAGAAGCCTGAGGAGTAAGCCACCCCGCTGTGGCCACGCTAGGAGGACACCATTGTCGGATCTTGGGTGAATCATCTCACTCTAGGGAACTTCATTTTCAGCTCCATTAAAGGAGATAATGACAGTACCCATCTCATAAGAACAGTACCCGTGAGAATTACATGCGAATATTTGGAGAGCACAAAGGAAGCACTCAACCAACTTTAAATCTCGTTATGGTTATATCAACTTCGGAGACACCCAGGGCTTGGTCCTGAAACCCCTCCATCTTGTGCGCACAAGGGTGCACACGGGCGCATAGACACACGCGCGTGCACACACACACACACACACACACACACGGGGATCACACCAGTCTTGGGGCTTTATAAACAATCATCTAAGTGCTGAGGTACCCCAAATGTGTATCACCATCCCGGAACTCCCTCCTGAATTCGAGACCTGCCTATCCAACTCCACACTTGACATCTCCAACTCCTCCGGGCCTAAACTGATCTCAGCCCCTCCCCTCCCCCCAAAAAAACCCTTACTCTATTAAGCGTTCTCCATCTCAAGCTGTCACTTCTATCTTTCCAGGTGCTCAGACCCAAATCCTGGGGCCTCCCTTTCTCCTGAGTCCCTCATTCAAAGTATCAGCAAATCTGCCAGCTCTACCTTCATAAAGCAACCAGACATCAGAATCCAAGCACCTGTCTTCACTCTACAGCCCCCAGCTTGCTTGGAGACATTGTCCTCTCTCACCTGGACAAATCTGGTCACCCCATCTGCTCTCCCTAGTCCCATCTTCACTTTACAGTTTCTATTCAACATAGCAACCAAAGACTGTATGACAAACTTTGTCCCTCCTCTGTCCAGAACCCTCCATAGCTCCCTATTTCTGTCACAATAAAAGTCAGTGGACTTCAAGGCTCTGTGTGACCTGCTCCCATCCCCTGCCTGCCCTCATCTCTTTCCATGCTCCTCCCCCAGCCACACAGATCTCCTCAATGTCTCCTAAACACCCCAAGCCTATCCTACCTCAGGGCCTTTGCACTGTTTCTCTCTACCTCAAACATTCTTCCCCTAAATATCCACATGGCTCCTGCCCTCTCCTATCTAAAGTCTTTGTTGAAATGGCTCTTTCTCAGGAAGGGTTTCACTGACGATCTAGTGACCTCTCCCTTTACCAGCATTACTGAACACCCCCAACACTTACCCAGCTCAATTTTTTCATAGCACTTACCAGTTCTCTCAACGGGGATCACAGTCACCCCATCTGGTCTCCCTAGTCCAACCCTTGGTTTTCCACTTAGCAGTCAAAAGAATACTATAAAGACCAAATGACAAATCTGTCACTCTGCTCAGAACCCTCCCAGGCTCCCCAATTCTGTCACAATAAAAAGTCAAAATCCTCCAAAGTCCTGTGTGAATTTACTTATTTATTTGCCCATTTATTATCTGTCATCTGTTAACACCCCCCCACCCGCACAACAAAAGTCAATTATGTAAGGGCGCAAATACGGCCTGGCTCACAGCAGATGCTCGGTAAATATTTGATGAGTTAATACAATTATTGTAGACATCATCACCGCCCCATCTTCTATGGGGGCTATACTGTCATCAGTTTCCCCAGCCAAAGACTCGGGAATCACCCTCACCTCAGCCCCTGTAGCTAGTCACCCCTCCTGTCCTGTCCAGACCTCAGTCTCCCTCTTCACTAGATTTCCCCAGTGCCCCCCGCTCCAAGCCACCTCCCTGCCAACCCACATCTGACCATGTCCTGTCCTGCACCCTGCTCACATACCCACTATAGCTCCCTATCACCCACATCTCACAGCATAAGGTCTGCTGTGAGATGTGACCCACAGTTCCTGGCAGTTGGCCCCTGGCAACCTACCTCCATTCTGCCCTCCTCCTCCAGATCCAGCCACCCTGGAGTGTGTGCCTCGAGAATATCATGCTCTCCCCCACCTGGGGACATTTGCAGATGCTGTTCCTCCCGCCTGACATGGTCTTGTCTCCCTTGTTACCACTCAGCGTGTACTCTCACTTCAGCATCCAAGAAGCTCTCCCTGAGCCACCCCCCTGTTGTGTTCACAGAGCACCAAGGGCCTCTCTTTTGGAGCACTTGTCATGGATTATAAATAAACTTACGTGTGGAATTACTTGTACATCTGTCCCCTGTTCTCCCGAGGGCAGGAATTGGGCCCGGCTGTGCTCCTGGCCCAATGCCAACAAATAATTAACATGTGGTCTGTTGACGAGTTAAATGAATGCACAAACTGTCCCAAAAAGCCTAAGTTTATGTCTGAGGGCAAATGGCTTCCCAGCCTCCTAGCCCTCATGGCTTCATAGCTTCCCTCATGGGCCTCCCAACTCCCCAGAGACCTTCGTTTCCTTCCTGGGCCCCAAGGGAAGTGTCTGGCTGAGCTAGGGGGTGAACAGTAGTGGTGGCCGTCTCTATCCCTTGCTTTTATTCTACAAAAATCAGAACGCTCAGCGAAGGGCCTTTCAGCAACGGAGGAGGGAAGAGGCAGGTGAGGGAGGGTCTAGATTTACAAAACAACTGAAGCACACATCCGACCCCTGGGATGCTGCCTGATGCCAGAGGAGTTCACCCAAATGAGCTGGGAACCTCAAGAAGGTGATGTCCGGGTTCAAGGCTCTAACTTCAGGCTTCAGCTCCCAAGTCTTCAACTTAGAAGGCAGCTGGAATCCACGAGTGGGGGGTAGGGAGAGGGAACTGGTCCTGAATCCCAGCGGCCTTAGGTGTTGGGTCTTAAGTCCAAGGATGGCTGGGTGGGGCCTGAGGCCCCGAATGCTCCGGATCCTGGGAGGGGTCTGGACCCAAGGGGACCTGAGCAAGCCTGTTTCCTCAAGCTGGAGAGCCGGAACCGGCACTCAGGGGACCGGACCTGGACCTCAAGGGGCGTGACCAGACCGGCAGGAGGCGGAGACTTGTCGTGAGGGGCGTGGCTTGCACCTTCGGGCTTCGCGGAAGAGCCTGGTCCTCCGGGAGCCCAACCTGAACTTCGAGGGGCGTGGTTTCTGCCCTCGGGATCTTGGGGGCGGGGCCTGGGCCTCTCCGGGCGGGGCTTGGGCCCCCTGGATCCGCACGGAGGCCGGCGCTCAGGCCCGCGGAGGCAGCGGCTCCACGTTGAGCCAGATGCCGTTCTCCGTGCGCAGGATGAGCTCGGGTTTCCGCCGCACCTTGCGCGTTCGGTCCACACTCAGGCGGAAGCGCAGCAGCGTCAGCGCCACGGCCACGCGCATCTCGGCCATGGCAAAGCTCTGTCCGATGCAGTTCCTAGAGGAAGGGGGACGGGGTTGGGGCTCAGGCTCAGCCTCTGTGTGAGCCAGGAAGGGGGGAGTCCCGGGGTAAATGACCTCCCCCTCGGAGCCTCATCGGTAAAATGGGGGCAGTGGCATCATAGAGTCGTTGGGAGCATATAAGCCCAGAGTTCAGGGCCTGGCACACAGTTGGTGCTCAATACCCAGCGTTACTACCGCAGAGTCTAATTTGGGGACATTCTGGTACATTCAAAGCACGAAGAAGGTGCTGGGTTGGCAGAAAGCACATCTGGGTGGGAGGCGGTCTCTGCTCCTGACCGGCACATCCCTGACCTTCCACTGGCCTCCGTGCTCCTCCTATGCTTGGTTTGGATTGGGGGAAATAGAAGAGTTACCTGGGTCCTGCGGAGAAAGGCACGTAGGCCAGTGGGGAGCGCTGCTGTGGGTTGTCCGGATCAAAGCGATAGGGATTGTACACCTAGGCAGGATTAGCCTGGGGGTGAGTCTGGGTGGCTGGCCCAGCTATCCCAGCTTGGCCCCCATCCTTCAGCTGGACAGAGAAAACCTCACTACAATCCAGCCACACCCTCTTCTTTCTGTTGTTCAAACATCCCAGGCTCATTACAACCACTGAGCCTTTGCACGTCCTATCTTCTCTGCCTGGAACAGGCTTCTCCCTGCTCTTCACAGTTTTCAGGTCTCAGCTCAAATATCTCTTCCTCCCCAAGGCCTTTCTTCACCACTTGAGCTGAAATGCCCCCCACCTCACTCCAGTTTTTCTTTCTTTTGTGCACATATCAATATCTACAACGATAGTTTTTGCCTATTTTCTTCCCCTGAATGTCACCGTGAGCTCCATGAGGGCAAAGACAGTAACTTTCTGTCTTCAGTGCATAGCACAGAGGCTGGCACACGGGAGGTATGCAGTAAATATTTGTGGACCTAATGAACCAATGGAGGGTGACTAGAGGGTGACCAGCTCTGTACCCAGCCAGGCCATCTGGGTCCCTGGCGCGCAGGGTAGCGAGGCCTCACTGCCCCAGGACCACCCATTCCAAAGAGGAAGAAGCTAAGGGAAGGGAGAATTGATGCAGGGGCTCACCTTGGAGTCAGGCCACACGGTGGGGTTGTGGTGGGTCCCATAGATGCTGACCAGGCAGATAATTCCTGTGGGGAGGGTGCGGTCAGTGGGGCATTGAGGCTGAGGGGAACCAAGGCTTTCTCTGAAGACCTCCTCCTTCCCTGCTCTTCCTGGAGCTATGCTGTTCCCATCAGCCCTCTGCTACCCTTTCCCACCCATCCTTCTCTGAAAAATTCTGCTGCTGTGTCCACTCCCCCTGTTGCTCCCTAAAAGGTCTCCATCACCCTTCTAGCTATCATGCTGGCCACACAGGGATCTTTCTCACTCATATATCTGACATTGTTCTTCCTAAGCTCAAATACTTCCCTTGGCTCCCTACTATCCTGAAGATCAAGTTCAAATGCCTCAATCTAGCATTCAAGGTCTTTCTGCACCCCAAGACTCTGCTCCATAAATATACTGTCTTTCATTTTCAACCTCCAAGGTTCACCTCTCATGTTGCCTCTTCCAAGCAGCCCTCCCTACATTTCACCCCAGATAAAGTCATCACTCCTTATTTTGGGCTATTCCAGCCCCTGTTCTTCCCTTTAGCCCATCCCTGATCCCATGTGACTTGGATGTCTGTGCCCTGCTGTGTCCCCCTCAGGCTCCCTCAGGCTCAAGACCTGGGTCTGGGAATGAGGCCTCTCTAGAACTCCAGTATCACTTGGTCTTAGTCTCCAAAGGATATCTGGCAACTGAATGAAACCATCCATCCCCTACCTGCCCCCTCACAGGGCCCACCCAGCCCCACCCACTCTTGCCTTTCCACCTGGACTCACCCAACTCTGCATCCCCCCTACACAGCTGGGTCTCCTCCCTCATCCCAGAAGCAAGAGCCACCCAGAGAGATGCCCCATCTACAGGGAGGGTGCACCTGGGCCAGGCATGAGCAGCGCCCCCCTAGGCAGCAGATCAGCCCAGCAACCAGAGGGACCTTATGGGCACCTTTAGGGATGATGCGCCCATCTGGAAGCTTGATGTCTTCCGTGCAGCGGCGGGAGACCAAGGTCACTGGCGGGAACTGGCGTAGGCTCTCCTTGATGCACATGGTGGTGAAGGGCAACTGAGTCAGGTCATCCCTGGGGAGCACGGAACATGGAATGGTGTGTGACTTGGGGCCAGGCCACAGCAACACCCCCTTCCCCAAACATGCACATGCATGCACACATGCATCCAGGAGCAACCACATAGGAAACCAGTCCAGGATCTCAGACTTGCCCCAACTTCCGGCGTCTGCAATCAGACATGCACATATCACTAATCCTTGGCATGCAAAATATCTGACCCGAAACCAATCAGAGCAGCACCAACAGGCTTCTGCACACCCAGCATTAACCCTTTAACTGATGAATTATGTGGCAGTCAGAGGACAGCTGGAAGTGGTGCCAGGATAGGCAGGGGGGTTATTAGCAGCAGTTTACCAGGCTGGATGGGCCAATTTCAGTATTTAAAAACCCATACATTCTCTCCTTATGCTATTATTAACTTTTTTCCATTGGACTCCAGGGCCCCAAATTGGACTAATTATAACCCCTTGTCCATGATCTGGATCATTTTCTTTCTCTTTCAAAGAAATTTTATGTTGCTACCATAAAGGGCAAACAGCATGCCTAGCATAAAAGTATCCATAACATAAACACCACGGGGAAAAACAAAAGAGTCATTAAATACTAGCTAGACTATCTCCTACCCAGTCCTCAGAAACTGAGCCATATTCTCCCTTCATTAAAAAAAGACAGATTCGGGCGCCTGGGTGGCTCAGTGGGTTAAAGCCTCTGCCTTCGGCTCAGGTCATGGTCCCAGAGTCCTGGGATCGAGGCCCGCATCGGGCTCTCTGCTCAGCAGGGAGCCTGCTTCCTCCTCTCTCTCTGACTGCCTCTCTGCCTACTTGTGATCTCTCTGTCAAATAAATAAATAAAATCTTTAAAAAAAAAAAAAAAGACAGATTCATGGGATCCCTGGGTGGCTCAGTTGGTTAAGCATCTGCCTTTGGCTCGGGTCATGATCCCAGAGTCCTGGGATCGGAACCCACATCGGGCTCCTTGCTCAGCAGGGAGCCTGCTTCTCCCTCTGCCTGCCGCTCCCCCTGCTTGTGCTCTCTCTTTCCCTGACAATTAAATAAATAAATAAACTCTTTTTTAAAAAAGAGAGGGGCAGATTCACAAGGAGTTCAAGATACAACAGCACCCAACTGGGAGTGTCTCCTTGACGTCAAAATCTAAAAGGTGGACACTGAACAAAAAAGAGCTTTCTCACTGTCCGATGCTATTTAATGCTGTGTTTTCTCTGAGGCACCCAGAATCAGCTCTACGTGGCACACATCTGAAGTAAACTGGATTATCGTTGCCGGTTCTTCACTGCCCTCCCCCCACACCTGTGTTTGAATTACACACCCCGTGAACTTTGCATGCGATTCTGCAATGTCTTCTGCTCGGGCGAGTGGAATGTATGTCCTGCCCCATTCATATTGAACTTGGCCACGTGATTGGTTTAGCCAAATGGAATGTTACAATGCAAGCGGAGGTTTTAAACTGTGGCTCTTTGTGCTCCTGGAATCTCCCTTGAGAAGAATGTGCCCAGGGTAGCTGCTGGTTCAAGGAGAGTGGGGAGACATGTGGAACAGACCTGAACCCACACATCTGTTTGGACACCACCCCACTCAACAACACCCAGAAGGAACAAGAGTAATGACAAGCAAGAGCAAGGACTAAATGCAAGCTCTAGACTCAACCTGTCGCCACCATCCCCCCCGGAACCCAAACCGACCACTCCAGCTCCTCCAGCTCCCGGCCTTTCATGACTTCCTGGATCTCTTCCCGGCATTTCTCCTGGTACTCTGGATACTTGGCCAAGTTGAAGAGCACCCATGAGAGCCCACTGGACGTTGTGTCATGACCTGTAGACAGAGGAGGAGCTCAAATGGAGGCTGTCTGAAGACAGTGATCATGCGATTTTCAGACAGCGGGGCCCCTCCCAACCTCCCCTAGCCTCACCCTACATCCTCACCCTCAAACATAAAGGTGTCCGCCTCAGCTCGGATGTCCTCATCAGACAGTTCCTTCCCATCTTCATCCTGGAATGAACCAGAGGGGATGCTCAGCCCACTTCGTGGACCACCCTCCACATCCCGGGCTCCTCTCAAGTCAAGATATCTGCCCCTCTTGCAAGCCAAGCTGCAGGGGGAAGGATTCCAGGCAGACAGAGGTATGCAGCTTGTCTAAGAAAGATGGAAAGCAGGAGGGAGAGTGAAAGGTGAAGGGAAGAAGGGAGTTTGTACTTCTTGAGTAGCTGCTAGCACCAGACAGCCTGCTGGATGCCCAACAAACACCTGTGACCACGCTGTGTAACCGTCATGTCATAAATAGGGAAACTGAGGCTCAGAGGGGAGCGTCAGAGGCCTAGGGTGAAGTATCCATTAAGGAGCAGGGCCAGAACTGGAACCCAGGACTGTCTGAATCTAGAAGCCAAGCACTGCTCAGAAATTCCACAGAAGCGATCTCTGCAACTGTCACATTTCTTCAGTCTTGTTATTTCATCATCAGAAGTCTGGTGGGCAACATTGTGTCCCACCTACTTCCAGAACTCATGCGGTGAAGTCCTCACCTCCCCTCCCAGGACCTCAGAATGTAACCATATTTGGAAACCAGGCCTTTAGAGAGGTAATTCAATTATAATGAGGTCTTTAGGGTGGGCCCTGGCCCCACACGACTGGTGTCCTTAGAAGAAGAGGAAACTTACACAGTCGCAAGCAGAGGGACGACAACGTGAAGGCACACGAGAAAGTGTCATCTACAAGCCACGGAGAGAGGCTTCAGAAGAAGCCAACCCAGTCAACAGCTTGACCTCAGACTTCTAGCCTCCAGAACCTTGAGAAAATTAATATCTGGGGTTTAACCCCACACACACCAATTTTGTAGCCCTTTGTTATGGCAACCCTAACAAACTAATATAGTAAGTCTTACGCGTGCTGCACCTGCATCCCAGATCTGTTGCTTTTGATGCTTATCATTTTACAAGGTCAGTGCAATCCTCCAGGAGACCGTCCTGCGCCGGTCTCCACCCTCCAGGGCCCAGCCTCACCCGCGCCAGGAGCAGTACATCGATGAAGTCCAAGGTCTTGCCCTGCTTGCCCTTCAGCCAGGCCTCAGCCCCCTGCTGACGGAGCGCCCACCGCCGCTTCTGGATGACCTCGGTGGTGAAGCGGTGCACGGTGTCACAGGCCTGCCGGAAACGTCGCCCATCCGCCGAGAGGTAGTAGATGAAGTCTATGTGGTGATGCAGGCGATACTGGCGCCGGACCACGAGGGCACTCAGCTCAATGATGGCTGAGATGTAATCGCTCATCTTCCTGTTGGGGAGGTGCAGGGGAGAAGAGACAGGAGCATGGACCTGGCCCCTAAGACAAGCTTCTCCTCCCCGTGCGTAGGTGACAGAGAAAGGCCCTGCATAGACTAGATTTTCGTTTTACTTTTTTAAGATTTTATTTATTGATTTGAATGAGAGAGAGAGAGAGCACAAGGAGGGGGTGCAGCAGGCAGAGAGAGAGGGAGAAGCAGGCTCCCCAAGGGGCAGGGAGCCTGATGCAGGGCTCCATCCCAGAACCCTGGGATCATGACCTAAGCCGAAGGCAGACGCTCAACCGATTGAGACACCCAGGCGCCCCAACAAATTATTTTTTAATGGCAATCATCTGCTCTGTTTGTTGGCCTCATCATACCTGAATAAAACCAAAACCCAGGTACATTTTAAAACAGGTCCAAAGGATTAGGACTTCCAAATAGACGTAGCATCACTAAGACTAAATGCCTTAAAGCCACAAAGTAGGAGAATTCCCATTCCTGATGGGGAACTTGTATCTAAAATATAGAAAGAGCTCTTAAAATGCAACCATAGACAAATAACCCAATTTAAAAATGGGCAAAGCATATGAATAGACGTCTTGCTGAAAAAGATATACAAATGGCCACATGGCACAAGAAAAGATACTTAACAGCACCAGCCCCTAAAGAAATGAAATCAAAACCACCATGAGATGCCGCTTTGCCCCAACTAGGAACAGCTAGAACCAAAAAGACAGATAATAACACGTGTTTAAAAAAAATTAACAAGTGTTGGAAAGAGTGTGGAGAAATTGAAGTCCTCACACACTGCTGGTAGGAATATAAAATGCCCCATCTACATTGGAGAAAATGTCTGGCCATTCCTCAAAATCTAAACAAAGAATTATCACATAATCCAGAAATTCTGCTCCTAGGTACAGACTTTAAAAAGTTAAAAACAGGGGCGCCTGGGTGGCTCAGTTGGTTGGGCGACTGCCTTCGGCTCAGGTCATGGTCCTGGAGTCCTGGGATCAAGTCCCACATCGGGCTCCCAGCTCCATGGGGAGTCTGCTTCTCCCTCTGACCTTCACCCCTCTCATGCTCTCTCACTCTCTCTAGCAAATAAATAAAATCTTTTAAAAAAATTAAAAACATACTTTCACACACTCATACACCAATGTTTATAAAATAGCCAAAAAGTGGAAATGACCCAAATGTCCATCAGTAGATGAATGGATTTTAAAAATGTGGTATAATGTGGTAAATAGAATATTATTCAGCAATCTAAAAAAATGAAATATTGACACAGGATGAATGAATCTTGAGAACATTATGCTGAGTGAACAAAACCAGACAGAGAAGTTGGCATCATCCCATCAATATGAAATTTCCATAATAGACAAATCTGTGGGGGCAGAAGGAAGATTCATGATTGCCTACACTGGGAGAAGTGGGAAGTGGGGGTGAGCGGTAAAATGTACAGGGCTTATCTTTGATGGAAATATTTTAAAATGGATTATGGTGATGGCTGCACAATTTGTAAATACACTAGAAACCATTGGATTGTATATTTTAAATGGGTGAATCATATGGTATATGAGTTACATCTCAGTAAAACCATTATAATTAAAAAAAAAATGAAGGGGTGCCTGGGTGGCACAGTTGGTTAAGTATCTGACTCTTGGTTTTGGCTCAGGTCCTGATCTCAAAGTCATGAGATCAAGCCCTGCATCAGGTTCCACACTCAGCATGGAGTCTTCTTAAGACTCTCTCTCCCTCTTCCTCTGCCCCTCCATCCCCCGTATCCCATGCTCACTCTCTGTCTCTCAAATAAATAGATAAATGTCTTTAAAAATGAGGGAAAAAAATGAAATCACTGGAACAGGTGTGCAAGGGGCTGTCCTTGGTCCTGAAGTATGCTTCTTTTCATACACTTGTCAGTTTGTCATTTTCTTGTTTATTTATTTGTGCATCGTTACTGCCTTTCTTCCCACCAACATGTAAATTCCAGGGGAGCAAGACCCTTTCTATTTTGTTGACCACTGTATTCATAGTGCCTAGTCCAAGAGTGGCCCATAGTAGGTACTCAGTAAATATTTCCAGTTCAATTAATTAATTAATCAATCACTAAGGTCATCTCTACCTTACCCAACCCATAACCCTACAAAGCCCGAGTAGCAAAGGCAGAAGCTTATTATTAAAGACCTACTATGTGCTACAAACTTGCCATTTACAACGTCTCTTATTCGATATGTACCCACTTAGACTATAAATTCCGAGGAACTGGAACTTAGTCTCTTGTTCACCACCATATTCCCAGTAGCTAGCATAATCTCCTGCACATAGTAGGGACACAAAAATATATGATGAATGAATGAATGAATGAACCAGGACAATGGTCATCTTATTCATTCATTCAACAAATATTCACTGAGCATCTACTGTGTGCCAGGGCAATGTGGCATCATTTTATTCTTTTTTTTTTTTTTTTAAGGACAGAGTGCTATTTATTTAGAGCAGGGGTGGGGGGAAGGGTAAAAGGAGAGGGACAGAGAGAATCTCAAGCAGGCTCTGCAAGCACAGAGCTCAACAGGGGGCTTGATCCCACGACCCTGAGTTCATGACCTGGGCCAAAATCAAAAGTTGGAAGCTCAACTGACTGAGTCACCCATGCGCCCCAACATCATTTTATGCTTAAAGCATCTCTCAGAGGGTCAAGGACTGTTGTCCTTGTTTTACAAAAAAAGGACACTGTAGCTCAGAAAATGGGGAGATACTTTCCAGAGGCCAAACTACTCTTCATGGAGCAATGAAACTAGCATTTATTAAGCACCTACTATATGCAAAGCCATCAATTTACATTATCTCAATGGTCACACGATGGCTATGGGGAAGGAATTGGGATTCCATTTTTGGGTAAGGAGAGAGGCTTAGGGAGGTGATGTTAGTTTTCAGAAACACACAGCCCATCTGTGGCAGAGCCTAACAGCCCAGGGATGCCTAATGCTTGAGAGTTTCCTTTCTTCTCCCACCACCCTGCTCTAGAGCAACGGGCTCTGTCTTCCCCAGGGAGGCCACACTCACTCCTGGCAGTTGCTGTTGTAGCTGAAGACACATTTCTGAAGACTGTCCAGGGTCATGAGGCTGACATGCTCAAACATGTCAAGGGAGACCACGGAGCCCTGTGCCAGGCGCCGCCATTTACCCTGGAAGAGAGAGACGCATGGCAAAAGGATGCAGAGACCGCAGACTTTAAGCCAGGCTTCCAACGACCTAGCTGCCCGCTCGCTACAAGCCCACTTTATAGAATAAAGGAAGTGAAGCTTCCTAACATCACCTGGCTTATCCACTAGTCAGAGCCTGGACCTATCTCACTCCCAGGACACCCTCTTCCCAAGAAACCTTGCAACTCACATGCATAATGTCTGTGCATTGGTTGAAGATCTTCATGTAGGGCTTCAGGATGTCAAAGTGGAAGGCAGGCGTCAGCAGGCGGCGATGGCGGCTCCATTTGTCACCTTTGCTCAGCAGCAGCCCATCTCCTGGGCCCAGAAGACTGAAATTAAGGGCCTCTCCTCCTACTCTGAAACACTACAAGAAACCCCACCCCCTCTTCCCCGAAGCCCCAGCCCAACTCACCCAGTCCCATACTCACCCAGCCAAGGCTTCAGGAAACCATAGAAAAGATCATCCTTGGGGGCGATGGCAGCTGTGGAGAAAGAAGATGTGGCGATGACTCAAAACAGAGTTCTAACCCTTGACCTCTGCTTATGAGCTCCTTGGGCCTCCTCTCTGAGCTCTGACCTCCATGTCACCCCTCCAGTCCATCCTCCACACCTGCCCCAGAAAGATCCTTAAAACATGTTGATCTGAACATGAGCCTCCCCTGGTTAGAAACCTCCCATGGCTCCCTATCACTCTGGCAATAAAATTCAAGCTCAAGCAAGCACTGAAGGCCATGCACTCTCTTGCCCCATATGCCTCTCCTATCTCTCCCATCAACATACACCAAATAATCCCACATGCTGGCCCTACTTCCAAACCTTTGTCCAGGCTGTGCTCTCCATCCGGAATGACCCTCTTCACCCTCATCACCCCTCTTTTCTGCCAACTCAGGCCATCTGAATTACACCTCCTGTTCTCTCAGTCTCCTGTCTGCGCTGCACTCTGGTCCCAGGAGGTCTTATCAGATGCTGGATCTGACCATGTCCCTTCCCACTCACACCCATAAGCCGCAACCACCAGATGCTCAGACCATTTTCAAAACCTTGAATGACCTACCTCAGTCCAGACCTCTCTAAAAACACTTTCATCCTCCATTCTCTGTATGCTCAATCTTCTAACATCACAGAATTTTTTTCATCTCCTTGAAAAAGTCACATTATCTCTCTATTCCAGGTCTTTCTACCACATGCCCTCTCTGCCTCAAACACTCTCCCCTCATTCTTTGAGCCTCTGCTTGGATGCTATCCCTCCTCCACCAGTCCCTCTGGATGGTATCCATCCAGTTACAGTCCCCTTGAGAGGAGAGAACATGCTGATCACTGATATACTGGGCTAAATAATGTTTTTCAGAGAGGGAGGGGGGAGGAGGACCAGAGGGAGAGGAAGAGACAGTCTTTTTTTTTTAAGATTTTATTTATGTATTTGAGAGAAAGCAGGGGGAGGAGCAGAGGAAGAGGGACAAGTGGACTCCACACGGAGCACGTCATCCCACAACCCTGAATCATGACCTGAGATAAAGTCAAGAGTCAGACAATCAACCAACTGACCCACCCAGGCACCCTGGGAGAGAACTCTTAAGTAGGCTCCATGCCCATCACAGAGCCCAACATGGGGCTCGATCTCACAGCCCTGAGATCACGACCTGAGCCCAAGTCGAGAGTCAAACACTTAACCAGTTGAGCCACCCAGGCACCCCTAGTGTTAAATAGTTTTTATTGAATGATCCAACCAAAGGTTGAATGAATACAAAAATGGATGGACAGATGGATAGATGGATGGGTTAGCGAGTGAATTCCCTTTCAGTGTGTTGAGCAAACGTGGGACAGAATGGGCTGAGGCCCAGGAAGGAAGTACCTGAAATTCAAGTGATGTCACTTTTATCTGAGACGTGACTCAGCCACCTACACACACACTACCTAGGAATTGGCCAACTGTGCACACAGTCATCTGTCCACTCATCCTCCTATTCAGGACATCTCTTCTACCATCTTCCTGTACCCAACCCATGCTAGGCAACACTGGGGACCAGAGATGGCTCAGCTCCACACCCTGCCTGGAGGAGCTCCGGGTGGGGCAAGAAAGGGAAGCAGAAGCATGCTGTGCAATTATCAAGAAGATAGAAAGCGTGCCAGAAGCAAAGGGAAGCACAGGGAAAGGGCTGCTAGAATTCAAGACAGGCATCCGGGAAGAGGCAGCACTGGAGAAGAAGGTGGAAGTCTAGTCACTCCTTTACTCTCTGGGATCTGGACTCCAGCCCAGGCCCCTTGAGGGTCTTTCCGATATACAGACCTGTTCAATGGCTATCCTGCTCAGACACCACCTATCATTCCTTAATGCCCCCAGGATAAAACACAAGCTTATTTGCTTTGCACGTGGGTGTTCTGAGTCCAGTTCCTGTCTCATCACCTACTCCTCCCCACATATCATCTTCCCTCCAGACACCACAAGTCACCTGAATTCCCTTGGCACTTTCACACATCTGCATCTTGGTCCTGGCAAACCCTCCACCTGACACTTCTCACCTGACAAACTCCAAACATCCTTCACTGACACCTCCTCCAGGAAGTCTCCCCAGCTGAACTCTTGCTCTCCCATCCTTGGGTCCCTACTCCCCTCCAACTCTGACTACTTGATTCCAGGAGTCTGTGTCTGGGCTGCCTTTCTCACCAGTGTCCCCTTCAGTAAAAAGGGGATGGTAACATCTACCCTGGAGGGGGTCATATAAGAAAAGACCCCACCCAGTGCCCAGTAGGAAGGATCATATCACTGAGGTTGAGACCTTGGCCTCTGGGAGGACCACGTCTGGGTTTAAATCCCAGCGTACCTCTAACTCACTGTGTAAACTTGGGCATTTTAGCCTTCTGTCCCTCCACTTCCTCAGCTTCCAGAGGAGAAACAGAGCAACCCTGCCTGCCTCATAGCATCCCTACAAAAACTCAATGAGCTCATATGTTCCTGGCACATGGCAGGAGTTCATTAAATATTTGTACACATAAATGAATAATTAACCAACTGCTGGCTATTTTTATAACTATGATTATAATTATTGGTCACTGGTGTCAAGAACTTGTGAGATGAATATCTGCATCTCCAGCCCCCAGCAAGGTCTACTAGTGAAAAATAAATGCCTAGCTATCATGAAAAGCAGTTTGGTGGTTCCTTAAAAAGTTAAAGGTAGAATTCCCATTTGACCCTCCATTTCTACTCCTTGGGATCTACCCAGGAGAAATGAAGACATACAACCACACTGAAACTTGTACATGCATGTTCATAGCAACATTCATAACAGCCCAAAGGTAGAAACAACCGAATGTCTGTCAGTGGAGGAGTGGATAAACAAGCGTGGTATATCCATATATCCAAACAATGGAATATTACTCAGTCTTAAAAAGAGGTCAGGGTACCTGGGTGACTCAGTGGGTTAAGCCTCTGCCTTCGGCTCGGGTCATGATATCAGGGTCCTGGGATCGAGCCCCGCATTGGGCTCTCTGCTCAGCGGGGAGCCTGCCTCCCCCTCTCTCTCTGCCTGCCTCTCTGCCTACTTGTGATCTCTCTCTCTCTGTGTCAAAAAAGTAAATAAATAATCTTTTTTTAAAAAATAAAAAAAATTAAAACAAAAATGAGGTAAGGTCTTGGTCATCACTACACTGTGGATAAATGTCAGAAACATTTTGCTGAGGGAAAGAAGTCAGTCACAAAAGACCACATTGTGTATAATTCCTTTCCTTTCCTATAATATATCCAGAACAGGCAAAGCTGTGGAGATAGAAAGGAGATTGGGGGGATGTCCCGGGAGATGGGGGAAGAGGAGAATGGGAAGTAATTACTTAATGGGTTCAGGCTGTTTTATGGAGCCATGAAAAAGTTTGAAACAAGAGAGAGCCAAGGGTTGCACAACATTGGGAACACTCAAAATGGTTAATTATATGTTATGTGAATTCCAACTCCATACAAAATGAATGTAGAAAGACAAGCTATAATTACATGCCTATATATCACGTTTCAGCCTCTATAAATAATTTTCACCTCCTTTTGCCCATTAATCCTCTCTATCCCAATTGCCTAATATAAGACGAAGAAAGAGAGGTCCAAGAGGAGCTGTGCCTTTCTCAGGCTCCATGGGCCGTGGGGATTTGGGCTCAGAGCAGCCGGTTCCCCAGGTATGGTCCTGTGGAGGTCCCAGTGGGGAATGGGATCCACAGCTTGGGGTCAGGCCTGTCTGTCCTGACTCACAGCCCCACACTCTCAAGCTAGAGCCCCCATCTGACTCCTCCAGCAGGGGGCGGTAGTGGATGTCCTGCCCATCCTGAGGGAGGGGAGGGGCGAGGAGAGGAGAGGCAGAGGCCTGAGCATCTACTACATGCTGAAGCCACACTGAGGGCTCCACTCCCTATTCTACTTGGGGTCTCACAACCAGAGAGGACAGTACTCAGGAAACTGAAGCTCTTAGGAGTAGGGGGGAAGGAAGAGAAGGTGAAAGAAAGAAAAACAGGATTGAGAAAGGCAGAAGAGAACAAACCCTCATGAGCACCTACACACATCATCTGGAGCCTTCACAACCACCTCATTTTACAGAGCAGAAACTGAGGCCCTGTGAGGCTAGATGAATTTCTTAGTCACACAACAGTTATGACTCCAGGTAGGATCAGAGCCCAGCCTGCCTAAGTCCTAGCCCAGGGCTCTTCCCAAAATTGGTACCATTCCTTGGAAGAGTCACCTTTCCCAGGGTCTAGGTTCCCCATTTGTGCAGTGAGGTGGGCACCCCCTCACAAACGCAGCAATGGTGGGGAGGGCATAGCTGGGGAGGGAAGGATAGCAGCCCTTTCTGCTTTCATGGTTCCAGGGTGGCAACCTTGATGGTGGTCTCTAGACATGGGTGCAAAGGCCCAGGCTGGGGCCAGAGATATAAAATTCCTGGAGCTCTTTCATTCCTCCCCACTCTCTCAAATACCCCGATGCCTCTGGAGATGCCCAGTTACATGCGAGGCCACACTGCAGATCCAGACTCCTATGAGAGGGACAGGGCTGGATGCAGACACACTCAGCCTTAGAGGGTTAGGACTGAGAATGGAGAAGCCCAGAGAAGAAAGCTATGATCTGCCTGGAGGATCACCCCCAGGTCTTCCTGGAGAAGGCAGTCATTGGATCTGCATGTTAAAGGCTGAACAAGAGCTTGCCAAGCACACCTGGGGGTCCTACACCTTCGAAGAGGTGTGGACCTCAGAAGGGAGAAACAACCCTTCTACATCTCCTCTTCCACCAATCAGAGGCAGCCCAGGTGAAGCTGGAAGAGCCACAGTGGGAATGTCAGAAGCCAAATGTTCGGCTACCATAGCTTAGAATTAAGCAGCAACCATTTAACAAAATCCTGGGCCCACAATTGCCTATCCAAGCATGTTTAGCTCTGACTTCCGGGGCGGGGGGGTAGACATCCTCTCAAATTCCCGGGACTCTTAGATATTATCTATCTTTTCCCATGCTATTCCCACTACCTGTATTACTATGGCTGCTTTAGTGAACTCCTATTCATCCTTCAAATCCCTGCTCAAATGGCCCTTCCCCTGGAGAGCCTGCATGCCTAGAAGCCCAGGTGAGCTCTGGGAGTTCAGGGCTTACCCATCACTCAAAGGCCCGGCCCACCTACCCGAGGCGCCCACTAGGGGCTTGATGTAGTCAGGGTGCACCAGAACCAACAGCGGCAACACAGGTCCAATCCACACCAGAATCACATGGTGCATGTTGTCCAGCACCTTCTTCTCATCTTGGAGGCCCGTCTCATTTGGAAGATACTGCAGGGGGTGGTAGGGAAAGAAAGTGAGGAGGAGCCCAGCCCCAGCTTCCCCTAGCTTTTCCCTCCAGCCACCTCCCCTGTCCTCCAAATGAGCCCAGAATAGCTATAGGTTTGGCTGATGAAGGCTGCACCTGATAAGCTGGCATTCGCTCATCTGAGAAGTGGGGAAGAATGGAATCTCTGTCTGAGGGCGGTTGAGAAAACTCACGAATGAACAAAATGAGAGATCCCCGCACAAGGGCCTGACACATAGCTGGTGTCCAAGAAATAAAAAACAGTAACCACAAGCACAATCATGCATTTATTGAGTACTTGCTCTGTTAGGAACAAAATTACTAGTATTGTTATTTTTTTAAAGATTTTATTTATTTATTTGAGAGAGAGAGAGAGAGAGAGTGAGAGAGAGCATGAGAGGGGAGAAGGTCAGAGGGAGAAGCAAACTCCCTGTGGGGCTGGGAGCCCAATGTGGGACTCGATCCCTGGACTCCAGGATCATGACCTGAGCTGAAGGCAGTTGCTTAACCAACTGAGCCACCCAGGCGCCCCTAGTATTGTTATTTTTAACACATACACAGGGTTGCAGTGTTAGGCACTGCTATGAACACTTTTCATATATTCATACCTTTCTCACAAACTCATACCTTCAAAACACACAAGTATTATGTGACCAAGTTGCTACGATTTTCCCCATTGTCCTTTGCTCAGAAAGGCCAAATGACTTGTCTGAAGGGACAGGTGAGTCAATGTCTTGGCTTGGGCTTCCCCAGAGGCAGGTCTTGAGACAAGAGCTCTAGCTAGAGCTAGTGGTTCGTTTGGAGGGGGATCCCCCCAAAAACGTGGGCAGGGGACTAAGAAAAGTGAGACAGGGAGGGAAGGCAGCCAGTAAAGGAGGAGTTGCCGAGAGAGTTATGGCCATGGCAACTCAATGCTCCGTCTTCCTGGGGACCTCTAGGGGACACATGAATCAACGTCAACCCAGCAGAGGACGAGTAAGCTGGAGTGTTTACACATCAACTCCTACCATCCCATAGTCACTGGCTGGGGGTCACTCCCGGGGCATCAACTCTCAAGCCCACAGTGCACAGTGTGAGAGAAAGCCCTAGAACGCAGGTTCTGGCAGCTGGAGGTCAAGCCATCACATCCAGAAATGGGCCGAAGGATCCAGGCAGGCACTGGCGTCTCCAGCCACAGCGGCAAAGCCAGGATCTGAACAGAAGCCCCTGGGCTCCAAAATGCATGCTCTTAACAAACACAGGGCAGAAGTATGTCAGACCCAAGGTCAGAAGGATGTGAGCTCAGATCTGCTCACAGCAGCTGTGTGACCTTGGTTGAGTCACTTAACCTCACTGAGCTCCAAAGATCAAATCCATAATATTGGGTAGATCCATCCCTATTCCACGGGCTGTGAGAATTAGGGGAGAGCTCAGGTATTAAGGGACCTAACCCCCTGCCTGGCCAAACGCAAGGCCCAGCAATTGCCAATCAAATGAATAAATGAATGAGTGAACAAGTCAGCAAATGACTTCTCTCTGGCTCCTGTGTCTCCTTCTCAACCAGGTTCACCCTGAGCCCATCTACACCCAAGAGAAACCATGGAATCACCGAGAACTCATGGCCCCAGGAGGCAGGCTGGGTCCACAGGGTCAAGGTTGGACTTCAGAACTGGCCCTGTCCAACTGCCCTTGAACTACCTCTCCGAATTCCACGTCTGCACCAGGCATGAGGCCTGAACCAGGAATTCTCCACAACTGTCCCTCTGTTTCCTTGAGGCCTGGAAGGGGGACCAGATGAGGGCTATAGCCAGTTAGGAGCTGGACTGTAGGACCCTAAAAGCCTCAGGAGTCTGGCTTCCTCTGACCGCTGAAGCCCTTCTAGAAAAGTGCAGGTTTCATCATCCCAAAACAAGAGGTGGCAGAGGGTACAGAGCTAAGAGCAGAGACTCTGGAGACAGATGGCCTGGGTTTGAACCCCAACTCTGCCACCGACAAGCTGTGTGTCATAGGGCCAGCTACTTAACCTCTCTGTGCCATAATAGTCTCAGGAGCAAAATGGGGGTAGTTGTGGGAACCACCTCTGAGGACTGTCAAGAGGACAGAGTTAATATTTTTAAAGCACCTGACCTAATGCTTAACACCTGTGTGTGAAGTAAGACATGAAAGACGAGGTAAGAGAATGAGAGAGAGGGTACAAACACGTGGGGGGGGGTGGAGGCAGAGCAACAACATGGACAGGAGTTCCCCCCACCCCCGCCTCCTGCCTGGGGATCACAGAACCTGACAACTTTCACAGGCACTTGTACCTGTTGCTAAGCAATGGCCTGAAGTTACAGAGAAAATGTTAAAGTCATTCTGCCTCATCCCAGCTGTGTAACCTCTGGTAAACTGCTTGCCCTCTCTGAAACCCTACTCGATCCTGTAAAATGGGTCTGTTCATGGCTCCGCATTCTTGGGGGATGAAGGAAACGGTCAGGTCCATCATCCTTACTGAATACCTGGGACCTGCCCAGTCCCCCTGCCCAGCCATACACACGTACCATGCCTAGATGGCCCAGCAGCCAGTTGCGCCGAGGCGGCTGGGGGAAGCAGCTCAGGCGGCGGCAGGTGATATAGAAACGCCAGCAGAGCCTCAGGAACTGCATCAGCAGGCGGAAGAGGAAGAAGAGCAGGGAGAGGAGGAGCACAGACACTGCATACAGGCGGAACGTGGTCTTCTCCACTCCCAGGAGGTGCAGCAGGTGTTCTGTGATGGGCAGCATCCTGAGGGGACAACGGGATGAGGGGGTCAGTGCAAGGAGGAGCCATCCTCTGGCCATATGTGCACCACACACAGGATGACCTGTGGATTCAAGCAGCATGTACTTGGCACACAGTAGGTGCTCAATACACAGGAGTCCCAGACCCCAAGGATACCTCTCAACCTTCCCCCAGCAGTGACCTTCAGCTAGCTAGCCAGATGAATGCACCAGTGCCCGGTCCACATGCCCTCAGCTTTGACTTTGCATGGCATCCCTCCTGACTTCTTGCCCATATGTGGATGGCCAGAGTGTTGGAAAATTTAAACACACACACACACACACACACACACACACGTTGAAAGCAGCTCTTAACAAACAACTGATAAATGTTGCTGGATAGATACATTCTCCCTTGGGGGTGCCATGACCCTGAGATGTGAGCTCCACATGAGCCACCAGGCTTCCCCAGGGGGATTAAACCCCAACTGCCCACCACAGGAACTTTCTCTATTAGATGCCTCCCTTCCCTTGTCTGGCCTCTTTTTCTTTTTTATTTAATTCAGGTGAGATTCACCCAACATAAAATGAACCATTTGAAAGTATAATTGCCCCTGAAAAATGAAAGGGGTACCAAACCCACAAAGCAGTCAGAATTCCATATATAACTTCTGACTCCCCAAAATCTTAACTAATAATAGTCTACTACTGACTGGAAATCCTTACTGACAACATAAAGTCAATTAACACATATTTTGTATATGTATTATATGCTATATTCTTACAGAAAAGTCAGCTGGAGAAAAGAAAAAATTACAAAACTCTTAAGAAAGAAAATCCATTTATGGGACTGCACTGTAAAAATTCCACATATAAGCAGACCTATGCAGTTCGAACCCGTGTTGTCCAAAGGCCAACTGTGTACAATTCAGTAGCATCTAATACATTCACCGTGCAACTACCCCCTCAATCTAGCTCCAAATTTTTTTCATCACCCCAAAAGGAAATCCCATCCCAATGAGTCATTCCCCATTTGCCTGTACTTTCAACTGCTAATTTGCTTGCTTGCTTGCTTTCTCTCTCTCTTCCAAGTAGGCTCCATGCCCAACGCAGAGCCCAATGCAGGGCTTGAACTCACGACTCTGAGCTCAAGACCTGAGCTGAGACCAAGAGCTGGATGCTTAACCAACTGAGCCACCCAGGCACCCCTAATCTGCTTTCTGCTTCTACGGACACTTTGTTTCATATCAATGGGATCATCTATTATGTGACTATTTGTGTCTGGCTTCTTTCACCTAGCGTGATGTGTTCAAGGGTCATCCTCATTGTAGCGTGCATTGGAACTTCATGTCTTGCACTGCTGGGTAATATTCCATTGTCAGGATGTATCACAATTTGTTTATCCATTCATCTGTTGATGAACACCTGAACTGCTCCCACCTCTGCCGATTGTGAAATGTGCAGCTATGAACACGCATGTACAGGTACGTGTCAGAGTCCCTGTTTTCAATTCTTTGGGGTTCACTTCCTTTTTCCTTATTGGTATGTTCTATGGTCACTTCCCAAATAAGCTCCTTGCACTCAAATCCTTGCCCGAGGGTCAGCTCTTGAAGGAACCCAAATAAAGTGGGTAGGGAACAATAGTATTAATAACACAGTGACCAGGTATGGAGCATTGCAATGAGCCATGCGCCACACTCAGGGATGTGCATGCCTCGTTTTATGGAATCTTAAAGGCACTTGGGTTTTACCTTCTCTCCATTTTCTGGACAACTGAATCTCAGTTCCTCTAATTAAAGAGAGATTGGAGCTAGCAGAGGCCCCCGAACCCCCACCAATGGTCAAACTCCATCACTTTGGTGGCTCACAGACCTCAGACGATGACAAGGACATTCCTGAAAATGGATGGGTTCTGTCTTCATCTCTACTTTCCACTCAGTCCAACCAGCCAAGGGTTCACCTCTGTGTTCCACCTCCTGGGGCAACATAGCTAAAGGAACCCTGAACTCCAGGTCCTCACCAGTCTCCACCCACTCCTGCCCATGTTTCCCTCCATTAGGGTCTCAGACCCACTGGCTCTTCTATCAGCCAATGCCCAACTATATCCTCCATACATAAGATGTATGGGTGGGTCATCACCAAATTTGGAGAGCCCCCCCTGGGTTGGTCTGACTTACATTATAAGTCATGCAGATGATATGACCAATCATGAGGATGGCTACCATCAAGAAAAGAAATGAGAATTGGCAAACATGCAGAGAAACCTTGAACCCTTATGCATTGCTCGTGGGAATGTAAAATGGTGCCACTTTGCTGTGGAAAACAGTATGGTGGTTCCTCAAAAATATTAAACATAGGGGTGCCTGGGTGGCTCAGTGGGTTAAAGCCTCTGCCTTCAGTTCAGGTCATGATCCTGGGGTTCTGGGATCAAGCCTCTCATCGGGCTCTCTGCTCAGCAGGGAGCCTGCTTCCTTCTCTCCCTCTGCCCGCCTCTCCGCCTACTTGTAATCTCTGTCTTTCAAATAAATAAATAAAATCTTTTTTAAAAATATTAAACATAGAATCACCATATGATCCAGCAATCCCACTTCTAGGTAGATCCCAGTCAGTTAAGTATCTGCCTTCAGCTCAGATCATGATCCCAGGGTTCTGGGATCAAGTCCTGCATCAGGCTCCTTGCTCTGTGAGAGGAGACTGCTTCTCCCTCTGCCGGCTATGCCCCCTGCTTGTGCACTCGCTCGCACTCTCTCTCTCTCATTCTCTCTGACAAATAAATAAATAAAATCCTAAAAAAAAGAAGAAGAAGAAGAAGAAGCAGGGACTCAAACAGATATCTGCACATCCATGTTCATAGCAGCATTAGTCACAATAGCCAAACAGTGGCCATAATGTGGTCCATTCATACAGGGGAATATTATTCGGATCTAAAAAGGATTCTGACACCTGGTAAAACATGGATGAACCTCGAGGACATTATGTTAAGTGAAATAAGAGACACAAACAACAAATGCTAGGTGATCTCACTTAAAAGAGGTCTCTAGAGGAGTCAGATTCAGAAACAGGAAGTAGATAGTGGGCTTGAGGGGTTGGGGGAGTGGGGGGCTTGAGGGGCCCAGGGGCGGGAGTTAGTGATTAACAGGGACAGAGTTTTAACTGAAGAAGATGAAAAGTTCTGGAGATGGACAGTGGTGACAACTGCACAACAATGTGAATGTACTTAATACCACTGAACTGTACACTTAAAATGTTTAAGATAATAAATGTTATGTGTATTTTACCACAATTAAAAATATTTTTTTTATTTTTTTAAAGATGTATTTATTTATTTGGTGGGGAGGGGCACAAGGAGAGGGGAGATAGAATCCCAAGCAGACTCTGCCCTAAGCATGGAACCCAATGTGGGACCCGATCCCACAACCCTGAGATCATGACCTGAACTGAAACCAAGAGTTGGACACCTAACTGACTGAGCCACCCAGGGGCCCCAAAAAATCTTTTGAAAAAGACAGACTAGCTGGTGTAGGTGATATGCCCCCTGGAAGGCCCAGGTAGGGATGGAGGTGGGAAGCAAATAACCTCTCAAAATGAAGCCCAGAGAGCTCCAAGTCACAAGTCCCAGGCAGAAGGTCATGGGCAGCTCCAGGTGACACACTCACCAGGGAGTAGCTGTGGATATTTGTTTCTTTACTGATTTAATAGAGGGTCATGATTCTCCCCCAGCATGCCAGGGAAGGCAGCCAGTGATTACGATCCAGAACTGCGAACTTCCTCTAATGCTCTCACATGCCAGGCTTCTCACCAAGTGTTCTATTTGCATTTCTTTGCCATTCAGTTGGCAAATTATGTTTGATCTCCTCCTATGTGTGTGACTCTGTTCTGGGCATGGAGATGTAATGGTGAGCCGGACACACATGGTCTAGGCCCTTAAGAGAGGTGGCCACCAAGAGACATGACAGAACACCATGTAAACACACTGCATGTCTTGAAAGAGGTAAAGCAGGTTTGGGAGTGCCTGAATATGTGCCCCCCAAAGACATCAGTTCTCTGAAACCTAGGAATGAGACCTTCTATGGCAAAGTCTTTGCAGATGGGACTAAGTTAAGGGCCTAGAGATGAGAAGAATAGCCTAGATTGTCTTGGTTGGTCCCAGCTGGAATGACAGATGTCCTTACAAGAGAGAGGCAGAGGGATAGGGGCGCCTGGGGGCCTCAGTTGGTTAAGCATCCAACTCTTGATTTTGGCTCAGGTCCTGATCTCAGGGTCATGAGATCAAGCCTCACATAGGGCTTAGCAGGGAGTCTGCCTGAGATTCTCTCCCTCTGCCTCTGTCCCTCTCCCCACTCATGTGCTCATGCTCTCTCTCTCTCTCTCTCTCTCTCTCTCTTTCTCTAAAACAAAAAAGAGAGAGAGGCAGAGGGAGATTTGACACACTGAAGAGGAGAAGGCTGTGCAAAGATGCAGGCAGACCCTGGGACACTGGAGTCACCAGAAGCTGGAAGAGGTAGGAAACAGATTCTTCCCTACAACCTTCAGAGGGAGTGCGGCCCTGCCAACACCTGGATTTCAGACTTCTGGCCTCCAGAACTACAAGATAATAAGTGTGTGTTGTTTTAAGCCCCCCAGTTCATGGTAAATTGTTACAGCAGCCACAGGAAACTCATACACAGCATAAGATGATACAGACCAATCCTTTTAGATAAGGTGGTCCAGGAGGGTTTCTCTGGCGAGGGGCTAGCTGGGCAGACACTTGAATAAAGAACCTAAAGGAAAGGGGCTTTCCTATTAAATGCACATGTGTGCACACACACACACATAACTGGGTTCTATCTAATCCTGACTCCACTGACTAGCTGTGTGGCCTGGGCCTCAGTTTCCCTAACTGAAACTGGAGGTGACTGTAAAAGATGATTCTGGGATCCATCCCAGTGTGACCTTCTCCTGTGTGTGGCCTGGAGTCAGGTGGTGTCGCCACTTTGGCAGACCCAAGACTTCTGGGTCCTCTCTAACCCCTGGGCAACTTGACTG